CATTAGTACGCTCGTCGACACAGGGTCGACCGTCAATGTAATAACGGACACCTGCTATCAGCGGCTGGCAAAGCACCCAACACTAGACCAGAGTAATAAAGTACGCGTTTATGCGTACGGCAGCAAGACTCCTCTCAAGGTTCGTGGAACTTTCGAAACTGAATTGACCTTCAGAGACAACACTGCTAAAACAACCTTCTACGTGGTCTACGGAGATTCTGATAATCTGTTGAGCTGTGACACTTCAGAATCGCTAGGCATCGTCAAGCTCACGTATGCCGTAACAGCTGACGACATGTCATCAAGCTATGCCGATCTCTTCAACGGGCTAGGAAACCTCAAGGACGTGAAGTGTAAACTTCACATTGACGACACTGTAAAGCCAGTAGTCCAGCCCCATCGCAGGATTCCATTCCACGTTCGCAAACAGACAGAAAAGGAACTGCAGCGTCTCCTTGATTTGGATATCATTGAACGGGTTGGTGGTGAGCCAACACCTTGGGTTTCGCCGATTCTAATTGTCAAAAAACCCAAGAGTCCAAATCAGATCCGCATCTGCGTGGATATGCGTGCTCCTAACAAAGCTATTCAGAGAGAACGCCATTTGACCCCCACTATCGACGAGATCATCGCGAAAGTAAATGGAGCTCGACACTTCGCGAAGTTGGATCTCAACGCTGGTTACCACCAGATAGAGCTCGCTGAGGAGTCGCGTTATGTAACTGTCTTTTCTACTCATGTTGGCCTGTTCAGATATAAGCGACTCAACTTCGGAGTCAATTCCGCAGCAGAGGTGTTTCAGCAGACGATACAAACCACCCTCAGTGGTCTTGATGGAGTTCTGAATATCAGCGACGATATTCTAGTGTATGGCCGTACACCCGAGGAACTCAACGACAGGCTTGAACAATGCCTGAAGCGACTGCAAGACAATCACCTCACTCTCAACAAAAACAAATGCGAATTCCGCAAGGAAAGGATGGAATTTTTTGGCCATGTTCTGAGCGCAGAAGGAGTATCACCTGACCCCAAGAAAGTACAAGCCATCATCAATGCGTCGAATCCATCAAATGTTCAAGAGGTGCGCAGTCTTCTGGGACTAATTAACTACTGCGGACGATTCATCCCTGATCTTGCGACGCTGTCTGCTCCTCTACGCAATCTAACGAGAGAAGAGGTAGAGTGGCAGTGGACAGGAGATCACCAGAAAGCCATGACTAACGTGAAACAGTGCCTTGCAGCAGGATGCACGAATGCTTTCTACGACCCAGACAAAAATACTCAACTTCTCGTAGATGCCAGCCCAGTTGGCATCGGTGCTGTGCTGGCACAGAAAAGCAGAGATGGAGAGCCCTCCGTAGTCGCATTAGCCAGCAGATCACTTACGCCAGTAGAACAGCGGTATTCACAGATAGAGAGGGAGGCCCTGGCGATAACCTGGGGCATTCAGCACTTCCACCTCTATCTGTATGGCAATACGTTCGAAGCTGTCACCGACCACAAGCCTCTGGTGACTATATTTAACAACGCTCATAGCAAGCCTCCGACGCGAATTGAGAGATGGATCCTCAAAATTCAAGAATACGACTTCACTGTCGTGTATGAGCCTGGAAAGTCTAACCCAGCAGACTACCTGTCCCGCCATCCGCTGCCGACTACTGAGCGCACAAGCCGCGAAGAGAAGGCGGCAGAGCAACATATCAACTTCGTGAGCGTAAATGCAGTACCAAAGTCAATGAAGCTAAGCGAAATCCAAGACGCGACTAAACAAGACGTCGCGTTGAGTCTTTGTATGCAAGCTCTCAGATCGCGAAATTGGAAAGAAGTGATAGAAACCACTTCATCTTCAGATGTAGCGAGATGCCTTCAGAGCTTCTACAATGTTCGCGACCAGTTGTCAATCGCACCCAGTGATGATTTTGTGTTACGCGGAAATTGCATTGTCATCCCACAATCCCTATGTGATCGCGTAATTGATATTGCACATGAAGGCCATCAAGGCGTCGTGAAAACCAAGCAGCTTCTGAGAGAAAAAGTGTGGTTTCCTGGAATTGATCGCATAGTTGAGCGTAAAATAAGTCAGTGTTTACCAGGCCAGGCCACGACAGTAGGGCCAAGTCCTCGTGCACCACTTCAAATGTCTGACCTGCCGAATGGTCCTTGGGAAGAAGTAAGTGTAGATTTCGCTGATTTGCCCTCTGGAGATCATCTTTTAGTGATTATTGATGATTATAGTCGATACCCAGTTGTAGAAGTCGTATCGTCGACGTCAGGGAAAGCTACAATTCCAAAGCTCGATAAAGTTTTCTCATTGTTTGGAGTCCCGCAGATTGTAAAATCCGATAATGGTCCGCCATTCAACGGCGATGAGTTTAAGCAGTTCGCAGAATACCTAGGCTTCACCCATCGCAAGATAACGCCGCGATGGCCACGTGCAAATGGTGAGGTAGAGCGGTTTATGCGCACGTTGAAGAAAGTCCTCCGCACTGCACATGCCGAATCCAAATCGTGGAGGCAAGAGCTACATCGATTTCTTCGCAACTATCGTGCAACACCACACACAACCACAGCACAACCTCCGGCAACAATAATGTTCTCGAGACCTATGCGCACACGCCTGCCAGAGATATCACGTGAAGGAAGCGACTCAGAGCTACGCGAACGCGACAAAGCAAAGAAAAACACCATGAAAGCTGATGCTGAACGCCACATGTCGTTCAGACGTGTTCCCCTCTGTATAGGAGACACGGTTCTAGTGAAGCGTGAAGGGTATGTTACTAAAACAATGACACCCTATGAGCTAGAGCCATTGGTAGTCACCGATGTCAAAGGCTCGATGGTCACAGCAAGTCGTGGATCACAAAAGATAACACGCAACACGTCTTTCTTCAAAGCCTTGAAGGAATACCTCCCAGCTGAACCAGTTTTTGTAGAAACTGAACAAGAGCAAATAGAACAATTCAGTGCTCCTGATGACTTGTCAGATGACAATGAACAAACCAATCCGACTACCCCTAACGTTGAGAGGTATTCGAGCCGTACTCGAAACCCTCCAGCTTACTTGAAAGACTACGTAACCAAAGTTAAGGTCAAGAAGTAGCGTGATACATGTTAAGACTAACATTCATCAAAAGTGTTAAGTAATGATACGACATCATCCATCTTATTTTGTTAATCATTTATGTGTAATGTGTATGCAACAACAGTCTGTAATAAAACAGAGATATTCAATAGTTTTAAGTTATAAATATGTACTCTTGATGTTTTACTACTTTGCAGCACGAAAGCCTGTACGGTACTTACACACTATACAAACTAAAGGAAACGTTTTCTTTTTAAAGCATATAATAGCAAGTCAGCTATTGTCACAGTCCTAGTCTTTGCTGATTTAGTTTTTAGTTTTGACAAATCATCCCATAGGAAAGAAATGAGCCTGCCGCATACTCCTGCGGCAGACTTGCCGCAGATCTGCAGCAGACCTGCCGCAGACAGTCATCTTTTTCACATGCAAATTAGTTTTGCCGCAGACTTGCCGCAGACTTGCCGAATACTCTTTCAGTATGATGAAGAGTCTGTGGCAGGTCTGCCGCAGACTTGCCGCATACTCTTTCAGTATGATGAAGAGTCTGCGGCAGGTCTGCGGCAGACTTGCTGCAGACTTGCCGCATACTCTATCAGTATGATGAAGGGTCTGCGGCAGGTCTGCCGCAGACTTGCTGCAGACTTGCCGCATACTCTATCAGTATGATAAAGAGTCTGCGGCAGGTCTGCCGCAGACTTGCTGCAGACCTGCCGCAGACTCTTCGTCATGAATATTCATATCTCATATAGACCTGCTGCAGACCTGCCGCATACTCTTTCATATCCAGTACATGGCAATAAAGTATGCATGTAGAAGAACCAGTGATAAACTGATTGATACTTCATAATCGATATTGGCAATATCGATATTACCAATTAGGTAATACCAATGTATATCGATATTACCAATTAGGTATATTCTATTCTCAATTGTATTAACTTCATCACATTGATCATTTGAAGTGTATTCAAGAGTAACATTTAAAGTGACACAGGCTCGTACACATATATATACTAAATATGTATATTGTTTCTTGGTTAGTAATCATAGTTTCTTGGTTAGTAATCAATATATCTATTGCTTAAACGTGAATGTAATTGTAACATGATCAGACAAAATAATCTATTGGTTAATAATGGCAAAAGGAAAATAGAAATCACAAAAATGATGTGCATTGTCTTAATTTGCTTAACAAATCATGATAAATGTATTTTTCTGTCACACGTGTAAAGTAATAATGAATATGCATGAGATGATTGGTTTCAATTGGCCCTATTAGACTTTAATGGGATTTCCTGTGGCGGACCTGCCGCAGACTGTTCCTGTGGCATACTAGTATGCGGCAAGTCTGGAGCAAAGTTTCATCCTGCCGCAGATCTGCCGCAGACTGTTCCTGTGGCATACTAGTATGCGGCAAGTCTGGAGCAAAGTTTCGCCCTGCCGCAGATCTGCCGCAGACTGTTCCTGTGGCATACTAGTATGCGGCAAGTCTGGAGCAAAGTTTCATCCTGCCGCAGATCTGCCGCAGACTGTTCCTGTGGCATACTAGTATGCGGCAAGTCTGGAGCAAAGTTTCATCCTGCCACAGATCTGCCGCAGACTGTTCCTGTGGCATACTAGTATGCGGCAAGTCTGCAGCAAAATTTCATCCTGCCGCAGATCTGCCGCAGACTGTTCCTGTGGCATACTAGTATGCGGCAAGTCTGCAGCAAAATTTCATCCTGCCGCAGATCAGCCGCAGACTGTTCCTGTGGCATACTGGTATGCGGCAAGTCTGCAGCAAAATTTCTTTCTGCCGCATACTTCGGCATACTCTTTGCCGCAGACTAAAAGTCTGCGGCAGGTCTGCGGCAGATCTGCGGCAGGTCTGCGGCAGGTCTGCGGCATACTTTTCACTTTCCTATGGGATTGCATGCCTTTTGGGCGTACTGACAAACTACAACAGTATGTGTAAGTGATCTTATAATAATAAGCTGTTTACATTGTATTCAATTGTTTAGCCATTTTATAATAATAGGCTGTTTACATTGTATTCAATAGTTTAGCCATTTTAGTGTTTAGTTATTCAAAATGTTTAACTTTTGACTTGTGTTTTCAAACACAATCCATGTTTGTTTTCAGGGCTGCATGCTGTTGTAAAGTTTTAAAGTTATACCATTCAAAGTCGTTCAGGGTTGATAAGGAAAACTTTGTATCTGAAGAAACTTACTCTGAAAGTAAGTCTCCAAAGTGTTCGATCCTTAGTGTATATAAGTGTACATAGTTTCACACATTCAATTAGGGCGATCATGAGAAATACGCCTGATAGTCGTTGCCACACATACAAATGTTACATAGGAAAGAAAACAGTTCACACAGCAAGTGAAAACATTGTTCTGGTTAAATTTAAAGAAGATTTAATTTCAGTTTTATGTCACAATATGCTTTCTCATTGTAATGCATGTTTTCAAATAACATGGGGAGGGATGTAGTATTCTAAGATACCATAGAATGCAGAATCAGAAATGAGCTGCTAGATTCAGCAGCATAAGAATACACGTGAATAATGAAAGCTGAATAAAGTACCATGTTGAGTTCAAACTTGATTCATCTGCTTGTCTTATTTGAGTTATCTCATATACGCATCTAACAGTAGCAACCATGTTAGTATGTTACAACGAAGAGAAGGCTAAAGTTCTGAATGAGTTCTTTGCAAGTGTGTTTACCAGAGAAGATTTTTGTAATTTTTTGTATTGACATGCAAACGAAACAAATTTCCAATAATTGGACAATAAAATTTGAATTGAATACCATGCACTGCACCGCTAAAAACCAGGGAGATTTGGGCAAAGTTCCCGGGTTTTTTAAAGCTTTGGGGGCGACGGTCGCTGTTTTGAGGGGGGGGGAAACAATCTGACCAACCAACCCAGGACATTTCGTTTTAGGCCTAACAGTGATACAGGATTGATATCCCGCCTGCCTACACGAGAGATATTATGCTTGCAAACAGAGAGCACATACCAACACCAGAGACGGCTCACGACATCCCCCATTTAATGGAACTCGGTCTTCATCGTCTACCACTTCAAGACTGTGAAGTCAGACTTCTTATTGTGTATGATTATGCCAGAGCATCGACATTTCATTACGTCAATCCAGCCCCTAACGACGAAGGACCATATGGTATAAAGATGGACATGGGCTAGAGCATTGTCAGAGCTGTGCCCGACAATTATGACGTAAGACATGATGATCCAATCGGTATCAGCCATCGCCTCATGGCCTGATGTACCCATCGATTTTAGCTCAGGAAGCCAGAATGTGCTTTTTGCACAAAAGGTGGCCAATTCAAGTAACTCAAGTAATTCAAGACAAGATATTTAACTGCTGATGAGCATCAGAATTGCTTTATATTCAGTACATCCTGGGTTTATCGTGATTCCCTATGAGTATATGAGGGGGCAAAAAGTTTTCATGTGGCATTCGATACTTCTTATTGGCTACATTCTTGGAACCCATTTCATATTTAGATATTAAATTATTAATAGATATTTATACAGCAGTAATCACAATTATGTCTTTGGGTATTATCCTTTAAAATACTCCCTGTCTTAATAGAAAAGCAAGAATATCAGGAAGCCTGTACGCATGATTGAACTTAGTTTACATCCCTGTTCAAATACAATAGAGCTGCCAATCATTCCTATATTTTCTCCAAAGAAATCTCTTATTGTGTTGCCTTATTCTAGCTTTTTATTACTTTCTTAATCATAATCTGGATGTGAGATACTGTGTGTTGAGAGCTACAAAGGCATCAACTTAGTGCACTCTGATATGACTTAATGCCCTTCTCGCTCTCAGCAGACAATACAGCATTATGGATAGGCCATACACTTTGGATAACGTTTGCTAAAACCAGAAGAGCTTTGATTGATATCATTTCATAAAGACTTTCACCATTTGAACAGTCAGTAGGTATTCAAGTCAACCATTTCATGACAAAAAAAACATTACCCTTGATTTCAAAGTAATTTCAAACTACACATACATGCAATTATCTACTGAGAGCCAAGTAGGAAATAATTTGTATACTTTCGGGCTGGCATTGGGCAATATCTCTCACCATCTCAACAAAGTATTTTTCTCGCTAGCCACGTATTTACTATTCAAACCCAGAAAGACCATCTCGATGTACATTATTGATGTGGCTACAAAATTGCACTTACATACATGTATTCAACCATTGCATATACCAACATCAAATCAACTGTCAAAGTAATCAGAGCTGTTATACATCAACACAACCACCTCTGAACAAACATCTCATAGTGCAGCGGGTCATCTGGCCTTGCCGTGTTCACGATGTAGTCCCACCCCATTCTTTCTGCGTTTCTCCTTCTTCCGTATATGGATGTACTGTATGATGCTCCACACACCTCTGCACATGTTAATCAGACGCTGGTCCGTGTTCTCACCAAGGGATATGGCAAAACGATATTGTGCCCTGTGTGATATTAAAAGCATACGGATCACAGTTCCAATGAAGATATGAAGGTTACAGTTGGAAAAACAGAGTACTTTTGAACACACAATACAAAGGCAAGAGAAGGTGGGGAGAATGCCTCATGGATAACAATTAGTATTCTAAGATAACAGCATGGCCATGGGATAGAGAACTGGGAGGACATATTTCACAAGATGTCAGTTCTCAAAATACACACATGCTTGGAAAATTTGACCCCATGACCTTTATGAAACTGTTTCCTATTTGGGTCAAGAATTTTGCTTCTTGTGCACAATCGTTTCAGAGAGATGGGTAGAGTGAGTGAGAGAGAGAAAGAGAGAGAGAGAGAGAACAAGAGAGCAAGAGAGAAATTTGTTTACCATTAAGAGTTGCATTTGGATTTTTATAAGATTAAGTTGTAACTAGATTTATCACAGTTCTTACCTGACAATAAACATGGCATGTTGAATGTAACCATTTTGCATGAGACTCTGAGCCATATAGACCCTGCAGCGAGCTAGTAAGATGGGATCACCAATCTGACAGGCTAGCTTCATCTGACGGATAGAAACTCTGCCTGCCTTCTCTGCCTAAATGAATGAAATATGAAAGGTTGCTCAACACAGATATTCTTTAGATATATTTTCACATTTCATTACATCTGTCATTTATCTGATCATTTTTCTGTCTTTAAAATATTAAATGTTAAAGGACAAGCATTATAAACAAAACAGAGAAATGGACTAAAAAGGGTTTCAGGAAAATTTAGACAACTACTGATGTTATAATATTGTTAAAATAGAGAGAAATCTCTATATAAAGACCACTCAAAGTCAAAAGAAACAAAACAAATGGTCTTTATGAGCACATGGTCTTTCTGTACAGGCTCTTTTTATGACAGGCTTCAACAAGAAACCCTGCAAGATGGAAACAAAAAATTAGGTCTTAATAGACAGGTCACAGCCTCACAGGTGGTTTCTAACAATTACCCCATATATTAACAGTTATGAATAATAAAGAGATGAAGCAAACTTACAAAATTCTGGAAGTCATCTCCTAGGGCAGAGTAAGCTCCTCCTAGAGTGGACAGCCAGGAGAAGGAATCTTCCATGGCAATACGGGCAAGCCACAGGGGTAACATCTTCACACTCCTATAAAGAAAGGTCAAGGAAAAACTATGGTTATGATCAGGGGGTAAATGACCTAATGAGTAATGACCACAGATTCTTGAAAAATGCTGTAAGACTAAGCGTGCTAGAAACTATCGTTCTCACTTCCCTAAAAGTTAGAGCAAGCTCTGCTAAAGGGTGCCATTCTGTAATGTTACCACATTTTTTTTGTTGGCTTATGTATTAAAATACGAGAATCGTTACGCAAGACAATATTATTTAGTCTAGAAAATATTTTAAAAACTTCTTATAAAACTGATTTAAGATATTTTAAGATTGTCATTTATCTTTTCTTTCATATTGCTGTTTCCTTACCATCGAATGTCTGCCTCCATTTTGAATAAGTTAGACTGTCTCAAATGCAGAGCCAACCTGATACCAGTTGACCTCTTCTGTTCTTTTGTAGTTCTCTTGGAGGAACAGCACCATGTGCAAAGATTCTTCATAAAGAGTTGTCTGTAGACTTGGGAATGTCTCATTTCACACATAAAACATGATGCCAGTATTGGATCTATGTCTGTTCCCAGCTGTATGAATTCAGCGTTGGTGGATATTGTAGGCCTACTGTCATGCTGTGTTCCTCCTCTGATCTGTTCATTGTTCTGATTGTTCACAATGTTTCTTTGGTTTGCCGACTCCTGTGCTGAAATACACTTCTCCTTCACAGAGTCTTTTTGGTTTCCATCTTCAGTGCATGAAGAAAGTCCAGAGGATGCTGATTTGGGAATTTGGTTGGACTTGGAGTTCAGACAATCTTGGGTCAGGTCAAACGAGGCGAAAGAATCTGTTGCGCTGACATCATCAGGAGTTGGCTTTTGAAACAAAATGCAGTCTATCATAGAAGTTCCCTGATTCACTGTGATAGCTATCATATCGTGTGGCTCCATCTGCAAAGAGAGAGAGAGAGAGAGAGAGAGAGAGAGAGAGAGAGAGGGAAAGAAATTAGACAACTTGTACAATTTGTATAAAAAATTGATGGAAATCTAACTTCTGGGGCATCAAGTATTTAATGCTCGTTTGCCCATGCACTTTATAGACTTTGTCTTTAATAGAAGTCTTGAGAAACTGGCCTCTGGGGGGCTGTTTCTCGAAACCAACTCCATGACAGTCATATCTTTGTCGGCGACCTACGGAGATGTCATGAAGCGGATAAACCGTTTCACAAAGCCATGACAGACATGATATCGATATATCGCGATGCTAGCAGCTCAAGAACATAGTCTTTGTCAGGATCCATTTGATTTATCAAGAATAACCCAAAACAAGTTTTGGGGCTAAAATTGTTCAAAAAGAAATATATACATATAAATTCTCCTAAAATAAATAATAAATAGTGTCATTATCATATTTACATCATCAAACGATTTGCATATTTCTGTAAAGATTCTTAAATTGAAGAAAAACCGGTGAGTGTTTTTTTCGACAGTCGAATCAAAAGTTGGTTGAAGGATACCGTAATGTGATAGTTTATCAATACATACTTTTTTGTTTATTGTGACGAGGAATTTTAGGCAAAATGTCTTTTTTCAGCCAGTTTTTATTCTAGAGTCTCATAAATACTCGTTATATAATTGATTTGATATTGAAAATATAATTTGAAAGAAGTAATTAGAGAGGAAATAATAATACACATAGGCCCCAAAGGTATGACGGTATCCTAAGAAAAGACTATGGATCGACTATGGAAAACGGTGTGTAACATTCTTACCTCTCTTATTTATATGTTATAGTTTAATGATTTGTGATTTAATGTTTATATTCAGCTTTTTAAAGTTTCTGTATAATTTGTATTCTCACTTTTGTACATTTGCATTTCGCATCCCAGAGAATTACGTACCGAACTCGTCTTTATTTTTCTCAAAATGATAGTGAAACTAATCGTCCATTTCGCGGCCCATGGAATGGCAACAAACTGACTTGTGATGGCGCTTTACAGCAATTAAAAAGATATGACGGGTTCGGAGCAGCGACAACTCGCTTGTCGCGGAAGTTGTCGCTCATCTTGGCAAAGACGGCTTCGTGAAACACTTAGCTGACAAGTTGCGTGACAGTGGCGAGATGTCGTTGATCTTGTAGTTATGACGGTTTCGAGAAACGGTCCCCCGGACTACATCCACAGTATTTCACTTTTTCCTAAACTAAACAGTCAACTTCTTTTTCAAATTCATTCAACCCAACTCTTTTCTCTGCATGCACAATATCATAAACCATACGAGAAGTTTGCATAATTTGACTGATAGGTTCAGTTTGAGGTGCAGAGCTATAGCGTAGAGACGGAACTGAGTGACGACGTCGACATCGAAGCCCTAAACGGAGGCTTCCCGATGATGGATGTGATCCAAATTCAAGTGGAAAATGCGATACAAATCAATATGATTAGAATTAGCAAAAAACTTATGCTAAAATTCCTTTGCTAAGAATGGATATGAAACTGCTAAAAAAAAAATGGATACGAAAGTATAGGTCTACACTAGCGCCTAGAAATCTATACAGCTAAAACTGTATCAAAGTCAAACAAAAACAAAAAAATCATTGACATCATGAAAACGAAGGGTAAATGCTTCACAAAGCTATCGCTACTTAAATCCTGCTCTCACACCTCTCTTTCCGACTGGATCAACCCCTCACTCTTTCACAATCTCTCTCTCAGTTTCATACTTGACTTGACCTCCACGTTATTAGTTAATGTTCCACTAGCCTAGACCTTACATCACATGTATGTGATGCATAACCCTGCCTATCCTTTGTATAGTACTACCAACACCTGCATCAACTGCAGTTCTCCAAACTGGAGGAAGCCTATTCCAAGCAAAGAAGAAGAAGAAGAAGAAGATGCCAGTGCAACTTCAAGATGGGCAAATATCACTGCAGTGCAGTGGCAATGGCAATGGCAATGGCAATGGCCCATGCACATGCCCAGGCCATGGCCTGGCCTAGGCCTGGCCTTGCAGTTGCATGGCCCAAAAATTTCGCACAAAATCTTGAATCTTGAATTTGTTGCACCCAAAAAGCTACGTTGACAGCTGTCCAGGGTCACTTATTTATCACTTATTACATCACTTATTTATCATTGAATCTTAGATACACTCAGAGATATTTACCGTTTCACATCAATTCACTCACGTTTGCTGACGAGACTCCAGGACAAATTAAACCGGATTGCTCTCTCTGATCTGTTCGACGCTTCAAAGTCAAACTCAAAGTTCTATGTTCTAGTTTCTGCTCTCTTTTCAATTCATCTGTTGGGTTGAAGACACCGTAGCAATAAAATCTAGAAAATCGGTTGAAATTTCTCGTACAAATCAAGAGTTGGAACTGGTATGTAAAACATTATAATCGGAGATTTTGTTCATATTTTCATTGAGATATCATTTATTGCTTCCAATGACGATAAATCGTACACTTGCACGCTGTTTTGAGAGTAGAGTCATGACAATACAAGAGTGTCTGTTTCCGTCTCTCTGTCTGTCGGTTGAGACTTCAGTGGGTGGTTGCTAACACCAGGGAGCTCCGACGCCGATGCATCGGCGTGGGAGCTCCATGGAGTTAGAGGGTTAATGTTGCATGTTAAAGGGAGTCACTCGTCAGTTTCCTTGTACAGAAGGCCATAATTCGCTGACACCAGACTTGGTGGATAATAAAAATCATTAACGTGTGTACAGGTATTTGGCCTGCACACAGCAGCGAGCCCGTTGGCCAATCAAGAAATACATGTCTACCCCCTCGTCTATCGAGAGTCTTCTGGTGTCGGAAAAGTGAGATAAATAGTGACTTTACCATGTGGGGGGAATGGATGGAAAACACACTAGAGGTCTACGTTACATGATAAGGCCTGGTGGTCATAAAACTCAAGGCTAATTCTGGTGATTGACAGCACCTCTTGTCATATCATGAGAGCTAACTACTGCAATTAGTCTAATACTCAAGCAATCTTGTCACAAGTGAAAAGATTGAGGTTAACATCAAGTACAAGAAAGTAAGAATAAATAAATAAGAAAAGAAAATCAAGTATTATTACTCTAGCCATGCACATGGACCATGATCTAACCATAGTCCATACTGCTTGTAATTTTATGTACGTTTTGAAGTTAATTTTCTGATTCTCATCCCCTGTTTTATTTGATGTTGTTAATTTTTGTTTTAATATGAAACATGAAGGTAGAAGAATCTCTGAAGACTCAAAATGTACATTCAAATTGTGTCTTCATATTTAAATTGCAATTTTGCAAATCCAAATATCTTTTGCAGAAAACAGAGCCCCATAGAGAAGGGAAAAGAGCACCATCATCATGGCACATGCATCTGCTAATCTGTGGTTGAAGTTTGATACCTTTAATATCGGCATCCTACCTGTGGCACCTCATCCTAAGCTCAGTCTACATGTAAGTAAACTTTAAAAGGGTTGATGACTTGATGCTTATTTAGTGCCAGTCATGTAAAGGTTAAACTTTCTTAATGTATGGTGGCTGGTCCTTCATAAAGTAATTTATATCATCACCTCCTCTATGGAATTCTGTTCCTTTAACAGCTAGGAATATATCGTGTATTGATACTAAAAACACCGCTCTGAAGACCTACCTTTTCTTAAAGGGTTTTATTTTTCTTATATTTATGTAACTAACATATTGTATATAAAGTGCATAGTTAATTTGGTTGTAACTATTACTGGTATGTGCAATATAAATTTATAACATTATATTTTAAGGTCTAGTGAAACCTATGCAGGGAAATTGTCCAATTCAATTACTTTGTGTTTGATACTGCTCTTGATATTGGGACTTGTTATAAGGGTATGAATGTTGATAGATATTTACTCTTCAAAAATGGTCATTGAGTAACATGTCTTGTAGCAATGAGTTGTTTAAAAGATAATGAATTTAGTTTGTTTGTATAATGAGCATAAGGTGGTGTTATAGAAGACATATATTTTTGCTAATCTCCAGGCTTCTTTTTTTCCTTCTAGTCTTGTTATGATTTTAATTTATTCCAGAATACATGCATGTCTTAATTGTCTTCTTTTGTTAACTCATACACACAGTATCTCAAGAAGATAGCTCTATATGCTAAAAACAAAGGAAAAGCTGGCTACCCAAGACTAGCCTACTCCACATGGAAGCACATTGCCTGCAACAAACTTGGCATGCTAGAGGATCTGGCATGGATGTAAGTCGATCAGTCTAGAATGTTGTCAATTGTGTTGTTTATTCTTGCTTGTTGCAAGCCATCCCAACTCCGTAAAGTTTACAATTGGCATAATATTGCATGCCTTTATTGAGAGAATTGATGGATGTGGGAATTGGGTAACATTGTAAAATGCAACAAAAGGGATCCTACATATTTATTGGGAACATATAGGAAAGTTGTATTTATATCAATAATTCCCTTGAGACACAATTATGTTTTAGAGTAAAACTATGAGCCTATGCTTGCTAACTAATGTACATGTAGATATGTTGAGATGCTGGGGTTTTTCGAACAGTATGCATTTATTATTTTGGATGTAATTAAACCTAAATTTATGAAATTAAAATAAATGCTAATAAAAGACAATAATCTTATACATTGGATTCTTGACTGTATTTTTATCCCTAGGTACTTTGAGGGCTTTGATATGCTGTGTGAGTACAGCCCTGAAGAAAGGCTACAACGTAGACAAGATGCAGTTCGCCATGCTAAGAATATTGGTAAGTGAGATTGATCTGCAGTGTTGGAATTTAGAAGATAAAAATATAAGACCATTGACATTCCTGGCTTTCCTGCATTAAGATACAGTAAATTGTGTGTCTAGTTCAACATGAAATACTCCTGTACAAACAAAACTTCCCCTTCCTCACATGATGATGATGGTCGTCGTAAGGATTATGTTGAAAATGATGATGATGGTAATGATGGTATTGGTGAGGATGATATTGATAATGTATTCCTAGATAGCAGGGAAAAAAATACAGTGAAATATCTGATACACTTCAGCTACTTAATGATCATTTGATGGCCTAATAATACTTGAAAACTGTTTCTTTCCCGATGCAGATACGTGGAAAAATATTCAAAGCGTTGATACCCTGCAGTTCCTGCTGTATCTGTACCTCCAACAACTGCACAAGATATCTCTCAGATCATCACTTGTTTCTGGTGAAGAGTATCCTTTACAATTTATCATTTGCATGATGTATATTCTTTTGTATGATATAACACCTGGCCTTATTACCTGTGGAGCAGCATACCTGATTATGAACCAGAAATGGCGTGGTTGCTCTAGAGAGGTGCTACCAGAATTGCAGTAGACTGGACTTTCAGATCTTGTCCCATTTCCTTGAGTTTCTTCTTTCACTTGTTTCTCATCTATATGCAGCAGAGCTTGCTGATACAATAGGAGAAGTTTGATGCCATGAAAATAGACATTGTTCACTATCTGTGAAAGTTTTATACCACTGTAGTGTAGCGTACCCAGAACCTTATTTACATGGAGGTCATATACTGTACTTGCTGTTGTTGAGATGGGTTAGGCTTGTCCTAAGATACAATTAAAGTCTGTTCTTGAGGACTAGGCTTTTATCGGCTTCTGTTTTCAAATTTGTGATCTTGTCCTATTCTCTACGACAGTAGAATAGAAATAGGGAATAATGTTGAAGCATGATAAACAGAACTGGTAGTTGTCCTTAACAAATGAATCTACCAGATGGCCATCTCGAGCGCGATCCCCATCCCCTGACATTGATGGCAGAACATCACCTGGACTGGGTTCCTCAACAAAGGCAAGTTGTCTTCTACTAAATAGAAGAATTTTGAATTGGTGCTAATCTTACATTAAGAGCTCTGCAGCTAATGCCTACACTCTTGATCTTTATGAATAGGTTTTGTGAAGTTGAATAATTCAGAGCATTCATTGCCGTAATTTTTTTAAAATTTGAAATTTGAATTTATTTCTGGATTCCAGTACAAATTTTCTGAACAGCTTTCCAAAGGAATACTATTCTATCACAACTCTATAACCCAAAGCTATATTTTAAATTTATCTTCTCACATCTCTGATTTCATATATTTACATTCGATATTAATATGGTTGCTACAGTGTGGTCCTATGCCTTACCCCCTTTCCAACCACCGAAAAATTATGCTCCTTTCTTCACATAGTCCGTTAATGTTGATCATTACATCTTGTCTTTAATTCTTTCATTACAGAGTGTGGATGAAAGCAACCAGCAGGTGTTTGTATTGAATCATCTGAGTGATATCTTAGGACTCTTAGCTGAAGCAGACTCCTACTCAAGTACAGCTAATGATGTTCTTCTCTCTGTCCAATCTGTTGAGGCGCTGGGGCTGCTCTTTGAAGGATCTGTGAACAAAAACAAGTTAGTAGTGCTTTTTATTCTCCTGTTTTCTTCTTGAATGTAGACAAATTTAAATCTTGGCTGTGCAAAAAGAAAGCAACACATTTTAAAGCTGTTTTTTGTAACCTGTTGCTGTATTTCTTTCTGTTTGCTGTAGATTCAGTGAATACCATTTGATTGTCTCTCTTTAGCCAGTGAAGCCCACTACACAGCAGAATAATCAAGGTTGTTATAGGAAGAAGCGGGGATATATCAGCGCAAATATTATATTGAGGCTGAAATATATGTACAGTAGTAAAATGCAGTTAGTGAAGTAACATTGACAGAACCACAAACGGGTTTGATCAGGAAAAGAATACAGAGTACAGCTGATTTCCTCCTGGATGAATATACAGTAGAGAATCCATAGATTCAATCTTATCTCATGTCTTGATTTGTGCTTTACAGGAGTGTACAGCTCGTCCATCAGGTTGCATTGCACCAACAAACACAGGCCAAGAGTGGATATTCGAAGGTGAGATCTCTCTTTCTTTGTTTCCTTGTATATCTTGTGACTGAATTTGTTCGTTTGCCAACAAGTTAATTGATTTTTTTTCCGCTCGTCACCAAAATAATATCTACATGAAGCAAGGGAGCAAATATATTAGTGTAGTGTCTTGTAAATTATACCTTACATATATATTTTATATTTCCAATGCTATTATAACACAATGCACAATGCATCATCAATACAATTTATGTGTTACTTAACTTTTGCCTATTTATCAGTCTGCTAATGAATTTACATTTCAAGCTTGTTATTTGAAATTTATTCCAGATTACTCAAGCCTTTTCTTTCAAGACCTTTGAGTCTTGGTTGAGGAGTAGTCTTTGTAACAGCCCCTTTGGTGTCACAGGCTGTATAGCAAGTGGACATAGACTACAGTGGTCATCAGGTAAGTGAAGCTAGGGAGGATTTTTGAGGGGAAGAGGGTATACTAGATGTAGTGATTGATGAAAGTTTGGAAATGAGTTTTTCAAACTTCAGTATTAAAATCTGCTCTTGATTCTTATTTATGCAACCAGAAAGCATGTCTTTGAGACAGTTAGGTACAGGTTCATTATCATCATGAAACAGACAAATTCTGTATCAGATTCCTGTTTGTTTGTTTGTTGTTTTTTGGTTAAATTATTCATTCTGTATTTCTATATAAATAGAGCCCCAGAATGATGTGCTGTCAGATTATAAACTACAAACTAATTTCTCCTATGTTCAATTTGCCCCATATCAGGTGAAGATGGTGCCAAGAGGGGTAGAGTGGCAACCAACTGCAATAAAGCACCCAAAAGGTATGCTACTGTGGTAGATGTTACCAGTGTTGGAAGTTATGGTGTTAAAATCTTGAAGAAGCATGCAGCTCATCAGCACATTAATCCTGCAGAAAAAATCTTTCACTGAAAACAATACATTTTATGAGTGTTTAAACAAAAAAAATTCTTGGAATAATGTTTTGGGCATTGAATTTCATTTTTATGAAGAAATGTTATATCAACTTGATAAATATGGAAAATTAAGAACATTCGGAAAGTTTGAAGAGCAATTGATATGTCTTTGCACATGCACTTGATTACCCTGAAACATGACAAAACCGTGTTATTCATGAATTGTGACAATTGTGGGGTACAGAATAACAGTTTAATGATTGCATGTTTTCTCTTATTCAGTTCCCAGTTGGTTATTCTTTCACAAATCTCAAAGCAGACATTAGCGAAGGTAAGACCCATATCTTATTATTTGTATTACTTGCTGAAACCATGAAGAAAATGTAATCAACTTGACTGAGGATTCTGTAAAGAATGTTAACGACTTGGGTTCTTGTAAGACATAGGGAAAGTTTGTATGTAATTAAAATAGATGGTCTCTACTTATATGTATTTAGCGTGTCATTAGACTCTTTATTGTTGAAGTCTAGATTGGAATATGAATGCAACATCTTTGTCCAAGTTTGTCACATGATGTCAAAGATTTGAAGTGAATGATAAAATGAACTGAAAGTTGACGACTGTTAATTTCGCATTTCTTCTCCTGCAGAGCTCTCAAATTCTTGTAGACTCTCGGATCAAAATCCATCGCTGTCACTATGCATTCATCTATCTCTTATCTCCAGTCAGGTAAATCTTTCTATGTTTTCTCTCTGTTTGTCGATTTCTGTAATAATATCAATCAGTAGTAATGAAATTATGATGAAAATCTAAATATTTAAAAGGTACTAACTTGGAGTTCACTTGTGCATAAATTTGACTCAAGCTGCTTAGAAAAACGCATTGGAAAGTTTCAGGCTGAAGAATGTCATTCAGTTTTTATCAAAGTAAAACTATTTTATCTATTTAACATTCTGTTACTGTACTTATGGAGAAAAAAAAACTATGAATGGTAAGGCAATATGACTCAAATTTGATCAAGCTTCAGTCCAATCATCCTCTCAGTAATGCTTCTACCAATCAATCTCTATTTCAGATCTGTGAGTATAGAGAAGTGTCGTCACACTACCATCATAGTGGGTGCAGTAGAAACGGCTGTACATCTTGTGGGATGTGAGCATGTCACTGTCATAGCAGCAGCTGGCAGATTCTCTGTCAGGTATGAAGATTAAACATGATTAAGCCATATCCTGAATGCTACATTATTTCTGTATGTGGATTGAAGCTCACATGGATTGAATTATGACATGAGTTGGTTTGGAATAGGCGATTGCTGCGGGTGTTATTTTACATTCAAATCACACAACCAACTTCATAAGTGGATCACACAATTGTTATAAGCTACTGAAATCCTTACATTTGATTGACTGTTAGTAAATTTGTTGTAGGAATGTGACAGTTTGTTATTGATGATAAGTTTTATGAAAGAGGGCCCAGAACTCAATACTCTTTTTGTCCTGGTGATTACTGATACCGTAAATAGCTTATGCTGGATTCTGTTGAAAACATGTTGACTACTAAATTTATTTATTGCCATAGGCTTAATACAGTGGCCACCCGATTTCAGTAGGCAATGGGTTAAATCAAAATCAAACTGTATCCAACATGTTATGGGACAGATCATATTACATACCAGTAGTCATTTCCATGCCTATCTGATTAGATATAGCTGCTTCCACACAGTGAAAATCTACCCAATATTTCAGGTCAAGGTAAATTTCCATCTCTTTTTGAACCCCATCCCTCACAGTGGTTCAACGTTATGCACTCTACACATGCTGACTCCATCAAGACCCTTGCTTCTGGGAGGTAATGATAGCATCACCCTAGCTCCCTATCACACACACTACGCAATGTTACATCAGCATATGGCTGCAGTGGGACTAGCAGAGAAACCTAACCATTGGAACAGCCCTATTTGTGTTGGTAAGTGGAATCTTATTTGTCTGCAGTCTTTGTCATGACAACACAGGGTAGTAGGAAAATAGGTAATGTTGCACTACATGTACTTCAACCTAAAGGACTTGGAAGTTTAAGTTGAAGTAAATAGACCCCTCCCACCATGCTCAGTTTGGCGACATGTTTCTTGGGAATAATTCTTTACTGCTCCGAGCTTCAGTAAATTTAGAGCCTTGAGCCATTTACATCTAAATACCAAATTCATCCATGAACCATTAGTTAGAGACTGTGTGTAAAAAAAGAAATTCCACATATTAACTGTACACAATGTAGAAATTATGTGTCTTAAATTGTGGAACATTTATTTCAGGTTTATTCAAAGAACTTGAGATGATGAAGAGCTCTATCTAAACATTGAGTTTCATTCCTGAAGCCCTCTACCGGCCCCATCTCCCTTGGCTGGGAATTGAAGAAAGTGACTAACCCTTGGTCATACAAGCACCCCAACTCTCTTCCAATCAGCATATTGATGTAAATATTTCATAATTTGTCTTTCTTTGTTTCTGGCTAGGTCCTGATCACACGGAAGAGCATCCTGTCCACCGATGTATGTCACCAAAGGAGTTCTTCACATTTGTCATTCCGTTTGATATGGATGGAATTACTGCAGTGAGTAGAGAAATACCATTCTTCTCCATAATTTATGTGGTATTGATTGATGTGTTACCCATTGCATTATCCTGTATAAAGTAGAAAGGTCATCTTGAAGAGAGATAATCGTTTTCACATCCTCTAGAGAAAAGTTACATAAAGTTCACATGGAAGCTTGATTAGCTATTATATCATGTCCCAAATGGTATGTAAGTGATGGACAACCTTTGAGGACAAATGAATTCATAGATGGTGACTGCTTGTACATGTAGCATAGTTTTGTATATCTGGGCCTCGTCTTACAAAGACTTGCGATTGATCCAAATCAATCGCAAGTCCTCCAATCAATCGCAAGTTAGTAGTCTCCTATCTCTTATGTACATAGTTGTGATTGATATCAATCGCAAATAAGTTGCGGTTGATATCAACTCTTTGTAAGACAGCCCTAAACTATAAACAGAAGTTAAGTTGAACATTCAATACATGTCCCATATATGCGTGTCTGTGTTGGCATTCAACAGTATGATTTCTAATTATCTGTCATATCTTGTAGGAGATTCCCGGTGGGCTTCCATCTCGTTATGAACGTGCCTTGGTAGACAGAGAGGGTCAGATCAACAACTGGCAACAAGCGGTCAAGGATGCTGGACTGGACGTGGAGCAGAAGAAACAATTCCAAATACTAGTCGAGAACAAATTCCAGGTAAAAATTGAATTCTTTACTTTGTAATGTTCCCTCTTTTACTGTCTATTTACATTTCAATCTCTCTCTCTATCTCTCTCTCTCTCTCTCTCTCTCTCTCTCTCTCATGCACTCTGTATCAGTTTATTTCAATTTTATAGTCTCTTCTACAGTCACACATTTCTCTTTCTTTCCAGTACTCTCATCCCCACTTTTACATTTCAATCTCCCTCTTTCCAATGTCACTACAAATTCAGTAATATTTGTATCTTTCTGTAATTTTGTTGTAAATTCATTTGGGGATATACTGCACATGTACAATGCGTACACTTTACTTTTTCAACCTCTTCCACTCCCTGCATCTCACCATCAAATCTCAGCTATTCATCACATAGCCTGACAGTCTTACTTTTGTCCTGGTGTGAAGTTATCATTTCTCTCTTTCTATATTCTGTCTTTTGCCACATCTTTTCCCAAATCCATCATTGTTACTATCCATGCACTAATTTGTTATGAACTACGTCCCTCTAGATAGATTTCTCATTTATGTTTATTTATTTTTTTATCTTTATGTTTGTCTCTCCTCTCAAACAGATATGGTTAGCAGAAACTGGACACAAGAGGGAGCTAGATGGATTAGTACCCAGTGGTGGTTCTCCTGGAAAATAGATCACTCCAAGGTTCTTTCTCTTTTCTCTGCCCTCCAGTTTTATTTATTGTCGTATCTTATGTTAATGTCAAGTACTTATGAATACCTTGAAATCTCTACTGCAATATTGAGTGTGTGTTTTTATGAACAGTACCTGTTTAAAATTGTAAATGTTAAAAGTGTCTTGTGTGTGTTTTTGGTGTGGTGTGGATTTTTTTTCACCTAGTTATAGTGGTCAGCTTGAATAAGACTAATAGCTTGTTTGCAATCTCTGCTTACTTTACATAGAATAAAGTGTTTTTCTTCACAAGAGTAAATAAAACTAAGATGAGCTCTTACATAGATCAAGTAGGCAAAAACATGTTACATGCCTATATATGAAGCAAATATTAGAAATATATTAAGTAAAACAGTTGAAGGTAAAACATTACTTGCATGACCTTGAACATTTTATCATGATACAACTCTGCATTTATTCTGGCTAGACGCAACCTGATCTCTTTTAAATCTTGTCAGTAATCTCTTGCGAGTTTAATTTTTTGGGGGGCACACTTTCTATTCTAGCCTTCTCCTTAGAAAGGATTATAATGAAGATTATTTCATAAACTACTGGCAATGTAATGTATAAAAGGGACATGTAGTCGATACTATTTCTTTGAAGTGATAGATTTTACTTTAAAATCATATGATCTGTTGCAACACTTGAGAAACAGCAAATTGGTCTTTTTTAAGTTCAGTACTCCTGATTTGAACACAAGAAAATAATGGATGACAAAGCCAATGTTTTTAAAAATCATTTTATTCAATCGTATCCAGGTTACAAAAATGAGCAATATTTATTCCTCAAGAACAATTGTACATTTGACTTCATATCTACACATAGAAAAAAATGGCCATTTGTTCAAGAAATAATTTCCATGAATATGTATAAAATAAAGATTGCCAGAAATATATTATGAAAATTGACTACATGTTTACTGGAAATGTACAATTATTTATAGTATGTGACAAGTTCTTTGAGAAATAAAATCAGATTTCTTTACTACTTTTAAACATTCTATCTTGTCATGTTTTTTTTAAATTCATAGAGTTGGGAGTTGGCGAAAGAAATAGAAAGAGGTGCACAAAGATGCAGAGAGAGAGAGAGAGAGAGAAAGAGCAAGGGGAGGGGGGCAAGAGAGAGATAGAGAAAGATAGAAAGAGGGGGAGGAAGAGACCAATAAATGTCATAAGACAAAGGCAGAGAAACTATGGATACGATGGATAGGAGAGAGAACAAGCAAGGAAGGAAGCATTTACAATTTTGTATTTATAATAAGAGGGAGACAGAAATAGGAAGATGGAAAGCTCAAAGTAAAGCTTAGATCGTGAGAAACTGAGTATGATAATCATACAGAAAGAAGAATGTATAGATTGAGAAGCATAGTTTCTATGAGATTGCACCTGTTTCTCTTTTTCAATGTGCTTGAACAAATAACCTCTTAAAATATTCAAACTTATCTCATAAATTACAATATCTTTTTTTAAATATCAATCCAGAATACATGCATACATACATTCACTGTTGAGTGATAACATTACCATTATGATTACTATAATTGATTACCATTACCTTTCATGTCCGTATCTATTGTACCTTTTTCTAGTTATCATGTATTTCATCTTTTGCACAAGTTGCGCCTTGAGCATTAGAATGTCAAGTGGATATGGCGCCTTACAAATCTTATGAATTATTATTATATCAATATTGATTCTATCTACCTGCTCATGGCTTGGCCAGGCAATGCTTTGGGAATCATAATGGACTGGACAAAAATAAAGGTGAATTAGTCATACATTTTCAAACTTGTTCTCATTTTATCAAAACTCAACCAAGTATTATCAATTACTGTTTGCAATCTATTTTCCTTCCTGGTTTTTGACATCCTCCAAAATAAATGGTTGAAATCTCATCTGAGAGTTGATTGACACACAAGATTTGCATAAAACACAAAATAATCTCTATGATTTAAACATTCAATAGGTCAAATTTCAAAGATAAGCACAAAATTATTTTCATTTCTTTTTTGGGGGTGGAAACATAACTACTGGTACTAATGTAAGATGAATAAGATGAATAAATCTATAAAAAAAAGTTTCAATTTTGCAAGAATCATTCTATACAAAAAGAGGGCAAAATAAAACCTTTTACAATTATTTCTGTAACTCATTTTGTACCCTTTAATATGTCAATCACAGCCTCTGTCATGACAATGGCATGTCACTCAGCCTACATACAATTCAGGCAAAAATGAAAAGAAAGTCTGTCATAGATAATAACTAAATCCAATTCCAGCAATGCCCTTTTACAAAATGTTACATATCCAACATGTACATACAATTTGAAATTTAACATAAGATATATATATATATATATATATATGAATGTTAAATGAACATTCAATCAATATTTTTCATGTACTATTTATGATTACTCTACTTCATCTCTGTTCAAAGAGAATGAGAGGGGGGATGGCATTAGCACAATTATTTGAAATATTTCCAGAAACTAGGAATATCCTGTGTATTCTGGATGGTGTTTCACAAAGACCAAGATCTACTTAAGTTGGACTTGAACTATGGCAGGCCATTCATGCCACTGTTTGCTCTCACCATTGGTCTCTCAAGGGACATCACAAATCTACAGAATTCACATTTTTTGATAGTTTATTATTGAAGAAAAAACATCTAAAGATCATAATTTCTAAGGTTTTTTTTCCTCTATTTTTACATCTGGTTCGAGACTTTTTAAGGTCATATATCGCCTGCCATAGTTCAAGTCTAACTTAAGTCGATCTTAGTCTTTGTATTGTGAAACACCCCCTGGGTTTGCATAATGAATAAGACTAATGGGTAAGTCTTGTTTCTTTTTTTAAAACTCAGACTAAGGTTAGTGACCACCAGGGCTGGTGACCACATAATCAGACATCAATGTAGTGGTAAGGCATTTAAAAAACAAACCTGTATTTCCACATTATTCAAAAAGAATGAAGAGAAACAAAATTCAAATTGATTGAACAAGCCTTTATCTAGGGGCATGTATACAAGTATCAATTTATGTAAGCGATGACACTACAAATTAAACAAAATAGCACCTTACAACATACAAAAACCTGTTTATGCATTCACATAGTGTATTTCAGATGATTTAAGAAGAAAAGTCTTAAAAAATCAACCTTAGGGGAATATTTTTGTAAAGTTTTTTTAAAATATGATTTCATGCTTAATGTTTGTACTCATGTTCATGTTCATGTGACTATTTCTACCGGTACTCTATTTTCTACTGCACCATGAGCATCACTATTGTGATGGATACTGGCACATTTTAAGTGTTCATATCATTATCGTTATATAAACAGATCTCTGCCAGGCAGTGTAGTATCACATACATATCCTTTCCAATCCAGGCAATTATTGAAATAACATCCCATTTCAAGTTAGTTTTGATGGACTTGAATGTATCATTTTCTCTATCAAACTTAAGCTAATGGTCATATTAATTAGTTCTAGTTTGATATACTTTCACACATTTTATGAAACATGCATTCTGAGTTTCTGACATACTATCTATGGATGCATTCTGAAAGCTTCTTCCAATAGGTAACTAGGAATGATATAATAATAATAATAATATGTCTTGTTTACCCAGGGTAGCCTCATCAGTATTCATACTGTTCTCCCTGAGGGCCCTGCTGGCCCTGCAATCATATTTCAGGGGAAAAAAAAGTGAGGTCATGCCAAATTCTAGAAAACATGACCATATTTTTCACTTGTCTTGAAGGAATGACACATCAGGATTTTGAAGAGAGTAAAAATGATAAAATCCGTCATGAAAAGGTATGAAGTATACCTCTAAATCACATCATTCCCACTTTCCAGCTCAATCTAAAACCAATGTGCGAATAAATTTGTACATGTAGCTGTTATAGAGAAGACACTGCAGTAGACCATATATATATCCCAACTCCCATAGTTCAATTGGACTGCAACCAAGTTTGAGGAAAGTGAAACCAGGATCCACCTGATGGACAAAGCACACATTTCAAACCAAAAGACTGCCTAAGTACCTGTAAATTGGGATAACATCCACCACCGTCACTATCTTAAAACTGACTAGACTTCTTTCTTTCTATTTGGTTCTTCTTTCTTCCTATTTGGTTCATTTAGATTCTACAATGCATTTGCATTTTCTGATCCACAAAAAGGAATATTCATCTCCTCATCTAACAATGATTTTCATTCAAAAGTTTGGTCATAATCTTGGAGGCCTTAGTATGTGGTGAGGTTCAGAGAAAATCTCATTGATTTGGGAGGGTGTCGTTATCATCACGGTAGGGACTTCCCCTACGATGTAACCTAATATAAATCCTGTTGGATGGGAGCTTTCCAGAGTAGAGCGTCGTCATTCTCACAGTAGGGACTTCCCCTATTATATGATAGCAGCATCAACTTGCACTGGAACTTCGTTGGCTTTTAATCTTTCATCTGTAGGATACATGAAAAGAAATTTACAAAATAACATAAAACATTATGAAATACTGAAATGAATGTAAAAGTATGCATCAAACTCAATTTAGTTGTACATCATATATCTCAATTGTAATGTAGTTGAAATCTTTATTTGCAGACCTGTACAAGATACACTGTATCTAGGGAAATCAACTCCATGCCCTTGTATGTAATGCAATTCACTCTTGATTATGAATACAAGGCTTTTTAACAAGTGAATGCTCTCAGTGTAAAAACTATTACATTAACACATTAAACATTAAACACAGTTACAGGCATATTTAAGCAACAAAAAGCCAATTTTCATAACTAAAAGACCAATAAAAGCAAAGTAAACAGACCCCTGTTATAATGAGCTAAAATAAGGGCATTTTAAAGTGCCTTTTCAGTAAGAACGTCTGTTCATAAAGAAAGTTACCAATTACCATGCAGTTTATGTTTATGACATACATGGTACTACTTACTTATTAGACATACAATCTAATGTGAATGTATATTGTGACCACAAATATAGGGCAAGCAGTGATATGTGCTGAATAAAAGCGTGATATGCTGAATAAGAGCGTGATGTATGAATACTAGCTATCTCAAGATTAAAGTGCAATCCAACTCTCGTAACAATTTCATTTGTATGAAAGCAGATAAATACGAAAACCAGAATGGTGAAAGTTTGAAATAAATCGGAACAATAATAAGAAAGTTACGAGTGTTTACAATATAAGATCACTAAATCTATGCAAATCGCAATTTATCATTGCATGGGGATGTATTTATGGAAAACACTCTTATTTGTCATGTACAACAAATGTATGTTTTTCTCCTAACTAAGTGCCTTCTCCCTTGAGGCAATCACAAAATATATTGTGGGCAGCATATTATCAAAGGATCTCTCAAAAGAAAAACCCCTCCTGAGTTATATACATCGTGACAAATGTACATTTTTAGTAATTTTGTGAGTAGGAACAAAGGACACTGCCGAGTCAGTCAATTTGAAGTACCCATTGTGCATAGTGATTATAACTTTCACAAATTTATAACACTCTTAATTCTTGTCCGATTTTATTCAAACTTTCACTGATCTGCTTCTCTCATTGTTCTGCTGTCAAATTTTACATGTGCATGACTGAATATATAGATTTGCATTACATGGGGTACTAGCAGTAAGCACTGACCAAGACCAAGGATTGCATTTTAGGAATACATGCAAGTGCACTGTAAGGAAATTTGAATGGGATTGATGGGACAAAATTGTTAAGAACCACAATTTTGACCTTGACAGTGTGAAGAAATAAACATTGCTAAAGTGATAGGAGGTATGTTTCATGCAGCAATATACAAATAATGCACTGTTGCGAGTGTGTTAGGGCAGGGCCAGTGCATGAAGTTTAGTCAGTGCCCATAGTGATAATGCATGCCCCCGCAAGGCAAGTGCGTTATGGATATCGCACGGACTAAACTGCCTTAACACATGAGCGAGACAGTGCATTATTTGTTTTATAAGACGGATCGGTAATAAATTTTTGCAATATAGTCTAGATCTAGAGTATAGATAGATATTATATCTAGATCTAAGTTAGATCTAACTAGATCTAGGCCTAGATTATTCTAGATCTAGATCTATATAGGTGTACAAATTAAATTTGGCTGAATTACGCGAAAGAGATATCAGCAGGTATCGAGCATGTGTTATCAATTTTTGATGGGAGCCTTTTTGCACGGTGGGAAAAATTAATGCACACCCATGTGATGTCAATTGACCGATCGGATTGCTTAGATTCTAGAACCCGTCTTATAAAAATTAATAATCCACTGCAAATGAAGCATGGATAAGCATTTACTGAGGATATTCCAAGTCTCTCTGTTACTATGTAAAGACATGAAATCATGATGTATGAATATTCTACCATTTACTACAAGTATATTATAGATACAATTAACAACTTAATTATTCATACCGTTGTAAATTTGATTGTTTTTTTGTGGTGTTTTTTGTTACTCAAGAATAAAAGGAGGACTAGTTTGAATACTTTTAGCTGCAAGCTTTATTATGTCCCATTCTCAAAAAACATTAATCAGGACAAATCAATTTTCATAGTTGTTAACTACATGTAAGTCAGCATATGTTTGATGTGAACACCCCCTGTTTAATGTGAACACCAACTGTTTAATGTGAACACCACCTGTTTAATATGAACATGCCCTGTTTAATGTGAACACCCCCTGTTTAATGTGAACACCACCTGTTTAATGTGAACACCACCTGTTTAATGTGAACACCACCTGTTTAATGTGAACACCCCGTTTAATGTGAACACGCCCTGTTTAATGTGAACACGCCCTGTTTAATGTGAACACCACCTGTTTAATGTGAACACGCCCTGTTTAATGTGAACACCACCTGTTTAATGTGAACACCACCTGTTTAATGTGAACACGCCCTGTTTAATGTGAACACCCCCTGTTTAATGTGAACACCACCTGTTTAATGAGAACACCACCTGTTTAATGTGAACATCACCTGTTTAATGTGAACATCACCTGTTTAATGTGAACACCACCTGTTTAATGTGAACACCTAATGTCCAATAATCAAGGATCCACCCACCACCGTTTCTAGCTGCTGACATGCATCAAGCAGACTCCAAGAATTGGAATATTTGCATTGTGATTTGTCTAATTTTATATATAAATTTCTCTGAAAATGTATCTCTTTCTTTTATATGATACAGCAAGCATGGCATTATATATGACAGGGTAGCATTAAGAATCTACAAGCTTGAGATTATGATAATCCTTATATTTTCTATCAGAATTATGATTAGATGAGCATCCAGTGGACAATTTTTAAAAGATTTTATGATAAATACAAACCTACATCAACATTACACACTGATGACGCTGTTGTGCCGTTGCCTGATTTCATTTCTTTTGATAAATGAATGCAATGTGACAAGGAGTTTATACCAAACCAGTGAATAATTCTGATAAGGCAGACACATTTTTAAAAAAAATCTTGCACGTGAACAGCATCAAACTTATAACAAATGTGTTTACAAGGGGGAACAAACAGAACTGAACATGAAAAGCAAACACAAAATAGGGAAGGAGGAAATAAGAGTTACATTTCATACCATGTAAAGGCATGTACATAACTTTTTACATAGATGTATTATGTCAATAAATGTACAATGGGGTACATGTTCATTCTCAATTAGCACAATTCTACTTTACAAGGAAACAATGATCCAATTCTGCCCGGAGCAACAAAATAAAGATTGCAGCTTCCTACATAAGAAACTTATGCAACTTGTGGACAAAACAATAAAAGACCATGGACCAATTTCTTCCACTGACCTCAAACTTCCAAATTTGTCATTTGCATTCCTAAATGAATGTAAATTTCATCTGTGAATGTGAATGTGAATATGTAAAACATGATCGGTTACATTAGATTAATGCTAAACACAACTGGCTTGTTATTTGGTAATCTGAATACATGCGCTGGTTGAATATCAGTTGAATATCAGTTGATAATGGTTCATGATGTCAATGCTAAAGATTGCTATGGTATAAGTGGTTGCAAATATATTTAATGTATAAAGTGATCATCATTTTTTTAAACAGTACGTCATGCAGCTGTAGTTAAACAATCTGTCTTTCACTTCTTCCTCATAATAATATTACTATTTGCAATAATGACCAACTTAGCCATCTAGTTGCATATCAATGATGATCAATCTAATCATAATTTATCACAAGATAATTTTTCTCACTTCCTCCTTTGTATTACTCATCATCCTACAGATAGAAATGTAGTAAATAAGATAGGGGTCGTTTGTGAAAATGAAAGTACTCTGTGGGTCATTTAAATTGAAATGAATAGCATATATCTGGGCAGAACTGGACCATTATACATACATAAATCATTTCACATTAATTTCCTGTCGTTTCTTCTTCTACTTTATAGCCACGATACTCAAACATTTGCAATTCTGTTTTGTGACTTCAGCCTGAATTTTCTGATTGGCACATATATACAGATGTCTCTTGCACTGAATGTGTGATGATACACAGCAAACAAAAATCAAATGCAAGTCGTAATGGATTGATTATGTGGTTTCATACATATCTATACACTTACTAGTCCCACAGGCAGATTACCCTTTAGAAAATAAACAAGGACCCTAAACATCTCACTACAACAAAATTAACATGACCACCCCCCCCCTCCATTTTGATGATTTCTGTAGAAATAAAACATAAAAGTTTGTGCAAGATCTGTCCTTGAAGTGAAGTTAATGCAGCTGAAGGATGGCAAGCAGTCTCTCAAACGCTTTAGAAATAACTTCATGAATTCACTCAGCAGCTAACATACATGTATACAGACGATTGCATGTTCTATCAAATTTCTTCCTAACCAATAATTCAATACAACTAGATGATTGTAATTCCACAAATCAGATCCCAGTTCTTAAACTATGCGCTGAGTTAAGGTTCTTTTCTATTTACCCTGGTTTTAAGCAACCCTACCAGAAAAAGGTATATAAATCTATTAGCTGGGTTTAAAGATTTTATCCATATAGCCTACAAAGAGACCCCTGCATTATAGATCCCAATACGTTCTTTAAAAATCTAGCATAAAAAGTCTAAAAATGGGAACATGTCAGAGCAAGAAACTGGGCAATATCTTGTAAACAAGCTTTTCTATGAAGAAAATACTCACTTGAAACGATGGTCTGGACCCTCTTCTTGTCATCTGCAAAGTACAGTGCTGTCCATAGGAAGAATCCCCCTCCAAGAACGGTTACGTAGCAGGTGGTATAGAGAGAGAAGATGAGACTAGTATACTTGGCTTCAGTGCTCTCGCTGTCTTCATGACTGTTTCTTATGGAGTCAGAAACCTAGACAGGATTTGTGAAAATAAGTCAATTGATAAATTGATAACATATCATGTCCTGTAGAGTGCGATTGGTATGCTGTGTTCCTGTACTGTGGCAATCTTCATGCCAATATCTCATGCTTTGCAGAAAAGTTATGGAAGCTGCTACATAGCATGGTAAAAACAGCTTTATCTGTTGACAAATTCAAGAACTTCTCCACTAGTTCTTTCCTTTACGTAGCTGAAATCAAATGGAGAAGGACATCTCCAATATTTCTTAAAATGCAACTTCCTGATTTCATTACTATCATACATCCATATTTCTCTTAATATCATATTCATGCAATTTTATGACAATTATGAAGGGTTATGCTACCATCTTCTTGCTCTGTTCTTCTATATTTTCAAATTTTTTATCATGCTCTTACCGCTCCCACAAGCCATGGACTGAGGGCATCTCCCAGTAAATGTGATATCAACATCTGAATAGCATTGCCTGTTGATCTCCTGGTTGGTATTAACACAGCCTGAAAGGGGATATGAGATATATATTGACAAATTAAATTAAAGCAGAGAACAGGAGGGCATCCCATACACATGGACAAATAAGATTTGAATCATGATTCATTTTTCACTGCTTTTTCATTAGTTTTTTGGTTTTCACATCCAATTACCTTTAAAGTAATAAGTATGTAAAGAAATCAGTTTTATTTGGGTTCTTCCATTCAAGATGATAATGCAAGCAAAATTTATAAATCATTCTTTATTCTCTCTGTTTCTATTCTGTCTTTACATGAAGGTACCTATTTGGTGCCAATTTTTTTTTTAAAGATAAATCTAATAAAGTTTAAGTTAGGCTTATACATTGTACAACTCATAATGGTTCCCGTAAATCTGACATTTTATGATCAAATTGATCAAGGTCATTTAAGACAACACTAGAAATCTAAGAAGTTTAAGAAGTGGTATTTGTATATCTTGACAATTACTTTTGAAAACAAGTACATTATTCTGCATCATGTGTGCTAATGAAATACCATTAATACAAGATGTCACAATGTATTAATTGTATTGCAATGTATGTAAGCTTGCTTACATGTAATGCTGGATAGTAAACTGTACTTATAATTTAATATGAAGTGATACATACCAATAGAATATCAGGAACCAATGCCCAGTTCAAACAAATCAGTGTTTCAGCTATGAATACAAAAGTCTGAAAGAAGAAGGAAAACAAATCGTTATGATCAAACAAAGAACTGGATTATATCAAAATTTGGAGAAATCTGAGAAGAAAATATTTAAGGGAAACTACCAATCAAACAAAGATGAAATCAGAAACAAACATTTTTTCTTTTCTAACTCCAAGCCAACCCCCAAATCCCCTCCCTCCCCATTTGACAAAAAAGGGTAAATACATTGAACCAAAACAATGCCACACTCAAAACAAGTACAGTCAAACCTGTCTATAAAGACCACCCAAGGAAGACAAGAAAAGTGCTTGTTATAGGCAGATGATCGTTATGTACAGGTTCCTTTAGTACATGTTTCAATGAGAAACCATTTGCAAGGGAAACAAAAAATGTCGTGTCTGTAGACAGGTGGTCTTTCTATACAGGTGGTTGCTAAAGCAGGTTTGACTGTATAAAAGAAAACTTGTGACTTACCCAGGTAATGCCGACCTGTTGATCAGAGACCTCTAGAGCTATGAAGAGGAACGGAGCACTAAGCAACATTCCAGCAGCACACACCAAGGGGTCAGCTCGATCGGTCTTCTTCCTCAGTAGCTGAGCTATGGTGGTTCCCATCCCTACACCTAAGAAGCCTGCCACTACAGTCACCACACCAAAGATGATGGGAACACTGGTAGAGAGAAGAGAAGACAGGGTTACAGTCAATGATGCAATTAGGCCTGATATAAACCGGGTCCTGACGGCCTTGCACCAATCGGGAACCAGTGTCCCAAAATCAGCTAGCAGGATCTGTCACTTGCCTCTATAAATAGCGCATATCATAAGTGTACATACAGAGTTACACACACTAAACTAAACTGCTCGACAAAACTAGGCAATATAGTCGATTCAGTCCTAATATTTTTCTCCCTTTTTTACATTAAAAGTATGCTACCTAGCGTGGATACATTTTTCGCTTTCAAGCTAGGACTTGAAGTTCTGAGAAGGGTCTTGGAAAATACTTATTGAAGTGTTTAATTGATATTTACACAACTGTAAAGCAAATGATCCGTGTTCTCAATGATATAAGCTTTCCTTACATGTATAATTGGCACATTTTGAATTTTTGTGATATTTCTTCGCACAGCTACTCTAGAATTTTAAGGTGGATGAGATTTTTAGTGGTGTGCAATACTGCAATTTCTTATATATTTCATTACTTTTATCAAAGTGCCGATTTCAAAAAAATGAAACCGGGACTCGATGGGGATGGTCAGGATTTGGTGTGACCAACCGTATCGCCTCAGGCTTAGATGGAATGTTTCTATTCAGTAATTTTAAAGGGAGACAGTAGTCAGTTTCCATGTGTCATAGATCTTAATTCACTGACACCAGTCTTGGTGGAAATAGTATTAATGGGTGTACAAGTCTTGCACACAGGTGTACACTATCTCTAGTTGCTCTAGGGTATTCCCCCAGCTCTAGCCTAAGTGACCTCATAATGCACTGAAGCATTCAGTGCATTTCTTCCTAAGGGTATCCATTTACTCCACCTACATTGATTATGGCAAACGCTTATAATGTAGAATTATATCATGTCATAGGATTTCAATGCTATGGCAGGGATTTGAACCCTGTACTTTGTGATTCACAATCTGTTGACCTGTCCACTCGACCAACATACCTATTCATCAAATACAATAATGCTCTTATGAAGAAAAAAGAGATAAGATAGATAAGATATTTATTTGTCTTTCTTTCAAATGTCACATAGAGCATAAAATTAGATCATTACACATTTACAATGCAAACAAAATTATGACAATGATAAAAAAAAAAAAGTGAACTAAAAGAAGATAGATACCTTGTGGAGTCAGTGCCAAGAATCTCATAAGCGTCTGTTATAGCAGTCACAGCCCATAGTGCCAGTGCTCCAGTTACCCAGCAAACAGTCGTAAGTCCAAAGGTGGAACAAATGTAGCTTTTACTGCAACACAATAAAAAATTAAAAAAGACAATAAACAATGCACACAAATAAATGTAGCACTATTGATTCAGTGTTTTAAACTGCCTTAAAAGTTCACATTGCACATGATACACATGTATTTACTCAAACTTTTTCTGAAACTTTAGCCCCTACAACTTGTTTAGATTAATGCAAACAAGTTATTAACTTATTACTTCATAAATTCAAGCAATATTTTAAAATCAAACACAGCATGTAAAATCTTAGATATCAAAATACGATTTGTACCAATTGTATCAAGTATGCTTGAATAATGATTCATTTTCTACCTCAGGTTTTGTGACTTCTAAAGATCAAGACAAGCCTACAAGTAAAAAAGCAATTTCTCACAACTACCCAGAATAATAGGTCAAAGAATGTGCTCACTTTCTGACCAATGCCATGATATCAGTGATGTAGCTCGTGTTGGCCATAGCGTGTTCACCAGTCTCAGCTTGACCTCTCTTGGGCTCTTTGACCAGGAAGAGAATGAGGATCACACACACAATGCCCAGTGGAGGTGTGAACTGTCAAATCAAAACAAACAAATCAATTTCATTTCAAGCTAAGCATTTTTTTTAAAAATATTTAAAACTGTTATTGCTTCCAAGGAAATAACAAAAATACATTCATAGGCATTTTACAAATTAATCACTTCCATATTATAATAGTACATAATAAAAATGAGTAACCAGTGGAGGTTTGAACCGTCAAATATAAATAAACACATCAATTTCATTTAAAGCTATGCAATCTTAGTTGTAATATATTCAGCATCACCAGTAATCATACAGATGAAAAGGTGTACTTCTACGGAATAGCACAAGGAATGACAAACATGTCTTTATGTCAGTATCCTAATAATTTAAATTATATCTAGCAGAAATGTTCTGCGAATTTGTGTGCATGTGTGTTTTGCCTTCTAACAAGAAATTCTCTTTTCACTCTCTCTTCCTTTCTCTCTCACATTACCTCACAACCTACATGTATAACACTATCAGTCCTCCCACTGCTTGTAACATTAATATGACACACTATTTCATATATTCCGGACATGTACATCAGATACTCTACAGCAGTGGTTTAGCACCATGACCCCATTGGACAATCTATCTTGTTAACCCCTGTAATGCAACATTAGAATTTTAATCAGCTTTTCCTTTATAACATTTTCATAATCACCCCTTCTCTCTCATCCCTCCCTTGAAACCTACATGACCATATGATGCAGAACCATAGTTACAGTACCAGGACTTTAACATTGAAACTCAGTTACCACTGTCTCCTGTTTTAATCAAGGGTGTCTCTGCATACAGGAAATAAAATTGAGCTCTCCCTCTCTCTCTCTCTCTCTCTCTCTCTCTCTCTCTCTCTCTCTCTTGTATGTCTTTATTTTAAGTGTAAGCTGACCAGCTTCTTACAGGAAACTATCACTATTTACTTGTTAACAATGTCACTCTCATTTCGTAATTAGGAAGGAAATAACTGCCCTTTCCTAGTTAATAGATACACTTAACCAACCATCTTCAAGGTCAGGCTTTTACGCGCATGTAACACTATTTAATTTGAAGATAATTATAAGGGTGGTAAGGACAACAAAAGAAAGAAAGTGAAAGAAAAAAAATTGCATAGAATCTAATGAAATCAATCATGATAAGGATTACAAAGAGAATTGAGGAATCAGTATAGAAAGATAGAGATATGAAGCAAGCATACAGTCTCACTATGTGTAGTAAAGATAGGATGATCATACAATTTATGTAATATACATGTACTTTGAAGCCATATTTTCTCTTGACATGTAATGCCATGCCATGACATGAAATCAAGTTTAGATTTTATGACTGATTAATTTTATTTGCTTTGCAAACCTTGTAATCAGATAATGGGAGTATTTATCAGCTCTGCTTTCACTTTCACTAGTCATAGACCTCTTCAGTTGACAAGTCACATGAAGAAATCATTTTCCTCATTAAATATATCCTAACTCGCCTCAGAAGGTACTTAGATCAAGAAACATGTCACAATGTTATTGTCACACTTTAGTTCTCCAGGCTTGACTATGGTGGATGCTTGCCTGGGGGTTTCACTAGTGGCAGTAAGAAGGACTTAGGCAGATTTGATGTACATTATTGCTATCAAAAGTTTACAAGAGATATATATGAATGAAGACATTCTTGGTATGATATGATGCCTTTTAGAATGACATGGGCGCAGCCTTTTCCTTGATCATGTGACCTACCATTATATATTATCACATTAAACTAAACAAGAACTAGAGTGAATTGCTTGACTTTCCTTGCAGCCTCATACCAAACAAGACGTATCTCTCATATCATATCCAATCATGCTAAACATCATCTTATCTTGAACTCACCCTTAAAGCCCATCTCCAATCACCTGCTAACTCTGCTACTAATTTGCCAGATATATAGCCCAAACCACTGGGGAAAAAAAGAATAAAGAAACACATAATTAGATACAATCATAAAATCCACTGTATAGACTGATACCAGACTGTACTTTGTCTCTTTAGAGCCTGCCAGAAGGGCAGTAACCAATTTACTTATATAGTTTTAATACAGACCAAGTACCCTTCTGGCTCTGAACAGACCACTTTACACATCTAGATTAAAGTATACCAATTAGGCCTAGTACCAATCACCAAAACGTCTTTTGCTCTTGATGTAAGCTGTTCCATGTTGCTATATTGCAGTCAAACTATGAGCTTCAAATATTAACTATACAAAGAGATATTGCAGTTTGAATACACTCCCAGTAAACAGTAAAACGTCTGGTTGAGTGGACTAATTAATGCATTCTTACAAACTCGCGCAGAACAAGGCGCACACATAACCCAAATCTGATATTGGTTCTGCATGTGCCCTATATGCAGGGCTTTATGTTATCCTCCATTTTCTTCATACTCCTGAACCATTTACCTATAGAATGCCAGGTCAAGTGTTTTGAGGTTGATTTCATACATTTTACCTATAGATACACACAATTATTTTCGCTGGTGATTGGTACTTTTTAAGGTAATACAGTGAAACCTGTCTATAAAGACCACCAAGGGAGACAAGAAAAGTGGTCTTTATAGGCAGGTGGTCTGTATGAACAGGTTCCTTTGGTACATGTTTCAATAAGAAACCATTTTCAAGGGAAACAAAAAATGTGGTCATTGTAGAATGGTGGTTGTTGTAGACAGGTGGTCACTAAAGGAAGTTTGACTGTACTATTTTCAATTCAATCCTCACTCAATGTTTTATCTCAAACCTATCTATTCTGTATATTTTAAAAACTATTTTTGTGCTAAAGCAATCAAACAGCAATCTTAAATAAAACTAATTAAATAAATAAAATATCATTTACCTGCCTACTGGAATAGCAAAATAGAAGACCATGAGCATCCTTGTTCTCCTGTTGCCCACAAAGAGATCTCCGATCAGAGTGGCAGCGATCGTCACGTAACTTGCTTCTCCGATACCAACGAGACCTCGGAGGAGCAGAAAGACCCAGAACTTCTGCAATGGTCAAAGAAAATTGAAATAATATCTTTACAAAGCAAAGGGCATTTGATTTCAAATTAACAAAAAGTGTTATTGACTGGATTATGGATGATAACAAATAGGAAAGAAGAAAAATAAAGTAAAATAATTTTTTTCTAAAGGATAAATGCGTAGATAGGTTATTAAACCTATTGTTGTCAATGTACATTGGCCAGATGAAAGGGAGGGGTATAAGAGGTTATAATAATAACTTTTAAAAGCTGATTTCACCATTTTAACAAATATTGAAATGTATAAAACATATCAAGTCCCTCCATGTAATCACCTAGCTGTGATCCCTGAAATATTCAACTAGTAGCATTATATTCTTTGGAGTTTGACCTAGTTTATGAATGTATGATAATTGTACTTTAAGATAAGACATACTAACCCAAATAGTCATATCCATAATAACTGCGGCGACTACGGACTCTTTTTGCACCTGCACAAAGTTTCGCTTTTATCGTTCTTTTTTACCATTTGTCCTTTATTTTGGTATGTTATGTTGAAATGTAATTATTTTGTCTGTATTTATATATTTATATTTGTATGTACATGTAAAGCACCTTTAAATGTCCGAAGGCAAATTTTATGTATTTTTTACATGACAATAAATTATCTTGAATCTTGAATCTTGAATCTTGAATGAATGGAAACAAACTAATATAATCAAATTTTATCTCTGAATGTAATCATAATAAGAGTCCGCTTTGTTTGTACATCAGAGACTGTTTGTTTGTTGTTCTTCAATCATTACTGTAAATAGCATTGGTGGAAGTCAAGTTTCTACGTGAAATACATAACACTTGAAAAATGATCCCAAAAAGTTTAAGGATCAATACTTAAGATCTAAAAAGATTAAGAATCATAACTGAGAAATATAAAATAAAACTAATCTACACAATGGAAATATATATTATGAAAAATTCTGCTTCTCATTTTGATTCTAGAGGATTCAAATCTATGTATTCATTCATTTTATCTAAATTAATTGTAGAGAATCAGTCAAAGAAAGCTTACATCAGGTGGAACGAATGAACCAGCAAGGGTTAGCCCAGACCAGGTCAAAATACCAAAGGCTACGATGAGCTTCCTAGAGTAACGATCGCCAAGATAGCCAAAGATTGGTGATGTCACCATGTAACCCACGATGAAGATAGTTTGCAGGAGACCTGCCGCACTGTTGTTATCCTCAATTAGGAAATATTTCTGTATGGCAGGTAGATTAGCTGTTGGGGAGAGAAAGAGAGAGAGAGAGAGAGAGAGAGAGAGAGATAAGGAGAGAGGGATTAATATCGATGTACAGGAACAGAAAATGGAGAGGTAGATGATTCATGATATATACTGCATTGTGGCATCATTCTGATAACAGATTGTAAAGAGTGGACAAAACAATCAGTTTTTAGAGTCAAAGGTTAAAAGGCACATGACCATTTTCACTTTGTATTCATTGTCATTGGAAACCATATCTTTACAATGTACAATGTACATACCGTGTACACAAAAAAACAGTCCATATGTTAAACTACTAAAACTTTTAAATGTCTGTCGTAATGAAATACATGGCTAAGACGTCCAGCACTTATGCTGAATGGTGATACATCTTTGATTGATGTTCTATTATGTCACTTCCTGTGTCAACATTCAAGTAATATTTTTCTTCTACTTACTGAACATATCACTGCACAAATTGGCAACAACATGTATGATGTATGTGTACATGTATGTGATTACCTCTGCAGTCTGAAAGCTTCTCTCCATTTTTTTGGTATTCTATTCTTTACACGACCCCACCTCCCCTTCTCCCATTGAATGTTGATATAGAAGTAAATGTAAACAAGGACATATAAACATGCACTTTGTGATACCTTGGAAGACACAAATGGAAAAAATTTCAATAACAAAAATGAGACTTCAACAATTTTCTTATTCAGGTTAAATCAAATGAAAAATAGTTTTGTTGGGGGAACAACTACGGTATACATCTTTTTTTTAATCCTTGATATTGACTCGACTCTTACATTCAGTATTCCAATCTGTATTCTGTTTAGAAATAGAATTCTGTGGCTCTTCTTCCTTTCTTTTACATGATCTTGAGTTGTAAACACTCATATTCAAACAAAGTAAGAAAACAATATCCATGGACACTCTACTGCACAAATTAAACCTATCTTCTAGAGAGGGACATGTATGAACTATGATACAGTAACATCATGTTAGTCATCAACAATCATCAATACACACATACTGGCAACCTTGTAACTGTAAACAGACATTGACCAGTATACTCTTCTTTATCATTAGACTGCACAACTTGATATAATTACTAACCAGGCCCAATGTTTAATAAGGTCATAAGAAGCATCTTAATCCTTGTAGAGTTGGCAGTTTGGCACATTTTCATTATTTACTTGATTACTTCAAACTTGTGACCTCACAGGTGTTCATGGTTAAAATCACTTTGATTATTTTGATATTTGTTTCGAAAGCAGAAAGTAAATAGTCTAGGGTAGGTATTTTTGTTTAAATACAATTGAAAATTTAAGAGAAAAATGAACAGAGCTTCCTGCATCTTGCCTTTTGAAGAAAAAAGAAATAGATGAGTGGAGCCTAGATCTAGAGGAGGTGATTTTATCATTTTCAAAATATCAACCAAAAGTAATAAAATTGATGATTTGGTTAATGCTGGTTTGGATCAAATGTCAAAGTTTATCAATCAGATATGAATATTTATGTTTGGGGACGCGACCTTTAATGTCACAATCCGAAAGACGTGAAAATAAAAGAATGTTTTTAAACTTTTTTTTGTTGAATGAATCAATCAAACATCAATACCACAACATTTACACTCAACATTATAATGCATTATACAGGCAAAAGCAAATATCTCTCTAAAAATCTCTAAATCATGATCTCAAGGATGCGATGTCAAGGAAGTTATGATGATTTTGTGGCCAAAGTACCTGCAATTGTGTAACGATCTGAATAATTGAGAAGATTCACACAGAAGAGTACCATTACAGTCATATATGCTGTACATGGTGGTTTTTTATCTTCAGGAGAAATAGCCACAGGATCCTCCCCAGTGTCATCAGTTTTAACATTCGGAACATTCCCCTCGATTCCATTCACAGGCAATGGCAAATTGGAACGCTGTGCATAATCCATTGCCTCCGTATTCCCATCATCTTCCTCCTCTTCTTCCTCCCGAAGCAACCGGCGCTTGTCGCCTGACCATTCCGAAGTGTCAGCCATTTCTACAGAGTCCCGTCTAGCCGTAGGCTGAATGTCGTCTGTGTCCGTATGTAAATTCTTCCTTGCTGCTGGCGGTGGTATCATCGATGTTTATGCTTTGTGTTTGTTAATACCGAACAAAGTTCGACCGGATGGATCCGATCACGAGATCACGGTGGGACTTTATAGTACTGTTACGAAATATTGACTAATTCCAAGGTATCATCTGGCGATGAAATTTCGTGTAGATTTCCTGTGTACATCGCATAGATCTATACGCAGACTTATAACAAGATTGATAACACTGCGAAGTATTGAAGTGTGGACGCACGGACGGTTTAGTGCGTCCTTCTCAAACGGACCTTCTCAAATTCATTTGAGACTGTTCAAGACCTGTGTGAGAGAAAAAAAAAAAAGAGAGAGAGAGAGAGAGAGAGAGAGAGAGAGAGAGAGAGAGAGAGAGAGAGAGAGAGAGAGAGAGAGAGAGAGAGAATAAACAAACAAAACAACAACAAAAAAAAAAACAACGACGACAACATCATTTGGCACTTCCATTGTTAAGAACTAAAAATTGAAAACTATCAAGGCAGGGCCAGGGGCGGATCCAGCCGGCGGCAATTAAGAGGGGGGGGGGGGGCAATCCGTGAGAAAATATTGAGCGGTGACACAGCCAGCCGGTGAATAAGCGGGGGAGGGGGTAAGGGTAAGAGCACTCTTCTTCTCCTTTTTTTCTTCTTCCCAATTCGTGAGAAATTCTCTTTTTTTAATTTTTTTTTTTAATATTGTCAAACTTTTGGGGGGTCAGGGGGCGGTCCCGTCACCCCCCCCCCCCCTCCGTGGATCCGCAACTGTATTAAGGGAAGTTTGCATATAAGTTCTTTAAATCACCTCGGCAAGAGGGTGTTACCTCTATATTTAAACTCAGGGCCAGAGTTGTAGCCCTTCTGGCTCTCGGCAGACGACTCAATTTCAATTTAATCGTTTTTCGTTTTTTAATCTGTGCGATGTTGAAATTATAATTGTTTGTCGTAATTAATTAGTTTATCATTTTGCAACCCACTGATTTGTTGCATACTGTGTTCAATCCTCCAAGTTGATAAATGAAAAGGTTAATTCAAGTTGTGCAAATATTCGTTGATTTATTCAGATGTTGTAAAGCGAAGTGGCTACATGTAAATTCACATAAAAATTCATATGTCAAGTCCCTCTTTGAGTGTGTCACCTCCCAAGGTTTCGAAACCCCTTGTTTTATTCCCATAATAAATCATCTACTTTTGCAAGTGATCTACTTCCATAAACATGATGAGAGGAGAGTTAACAACAAATACATTCTAAAAAAGTTGGGCCGGAAAAAACCCTTCCAGACTGACCACATTCCATAACTCTCCCAATTTCTATAAGGAGTGATTTACCCCCAAATCTCTCTTTCTCCCGCCTGAGTTTGATTTTCTCCCGCTGTTTCATAGTAAAGGCTGACGGTGTTCTCTCGAAGGTCATGGCACATAAAGTGAACTTAATAGTTGTGATGTGGCAATGAAGTGTTCACTGATGGAAGACAACCTGCTATCAGTGTGTGTCTATATTATCAAGTTATGAATAATCATAACATTTTATTTGTGTTATATAGCATGTACGGTATATACGGGGCTTTATAACACAAATAAAATGTTATGATTATTCATAACTTGATACTTGGTCAAGCCATGTATTAGAATTACTTACAACACAAAGAGTTTATTATTTATTATTTCATAACTTTAGACTCGATTTCAACCGCGACAACGATTAATGAATATTGTAGGAACGCATATGCTTCCAATATGTTAATTTGAACCAAATTCATGACCCCATACCAAAACTTTGTAATACCTTTAATCCTTGTCTGAATTCATTTTCTCCCCCTTCCGCGGAAGTTTTAACGTTTCATTAAATTATTAGAGAAAGAAGACGATTCGTTCTACCGTTCTCGACTCGTCTAAATGAAGTTTTCCCCTCCCGCGCAAAGCGCGGAATTTTTGGCGTTTCTTCAAAATATGCAGAAATGAAGACGATTCGTCGTACCGTTGTTGACTCTTGTTTGAATTTAGTTTCCCCGAAAATTGTAAACCTCTGATTTCTTTAGCTGATATTATAGAAAAGTGAAACTTCGAGAACATACAAGTTGTAGTCACTCTCGAAGTCGTCACAGCGGATAAAAAGTCACAGTTCGTAGGGAAAAATCTTGTCGGCCGACCGACAATAATTATACATCTCACCGACTTCAAACCCCGGCCCCCCCACTCAGGTTTCGAAATGACCGCATGCGTGTTGCCAAAATGTCCGGTAAAGGGGTACTTTTCGTGCGACAAAGTCCGGCCCGAGAATTGTAAAAAAAGGGGTGTATTTGACTTTTCACCCGGAGATTTCTTTAAAAAGGGGGTGTTTTTTCTTTTTTTCTCTCATCTCTTTGGACTCCTGAGAAATTATTCCGAATTTAGGGGGGTACATTGAGCATTTTTTCTGATTTAGGGGGGTCTCCAAGGCAGGAAAAGCCCGCGAAAAGCCCGCGAAAGGGGGGTTCGGAAATGTTGGCAGTCCTCAGATAGGGGGTGCTTTCAAAAAGAGGGAACGAGCATATGCGTACCCTAAATAACACTGAGTGGGGGGGCCGGGCTTCAAACTTCTGCATTGATAAGGGACAAGAGGATCGAGCAAGAATATCGACACAGCAACATATTTAACCGTGTCTTTCTTGCTCCCTTGACGAGACGACTCCACCCAACAAACCCCTCTCTCTTTTACTCCCACTCCTCCTCTCTCAGGCTCTTACCTCCCCTCTCTCCTCTCTTTCACCCCCGTTTCTTTTGTTTCCCTTTCCTCATTTTTCTTCTTTTTTTCCTTTTCTTTCTTTTCTTTCTTTTCCTTTCTTTCTTTTCTTTTCCTTTGCTTTTTTTCTTTTCTTTCCCTTTCCCTCTCTTTTTTTTCCCTCCCCCTTTTCTGTTTTTCCCCGAATTTTACCGAAATTTGTCGCACCCCCACACCCCCCACACCCCACACCCCCCCCCCCCCCCCCCCCCCCCCCCCTTTGGCGACGCCCCTGCCTACAAGCTCAGGACATTCGACAATATTTGATTTTCTCTTCTTTAATAAAGCCCTGGAATAACAATTAGACTTGAAACTGCTTTACCATGAACCTATTATTGTTTCTAATCACCTTGTTATTATAAGTAATAATGGAAACTTTAGATAGGCTACTATAATTATGAAACCGAAAGTATGATAGGCCTAACCATTTTTGTAATATAATCTCTTATAATGACTATTATCATTCATCATCCTAGATTTGTTTGATGTACCAATTAATTAATTAACTAATTTGGGCTATTTAAATCAATACAACTGAATGATACGCGCCGTTAAAAATAAAACAACAACGGCTACAATTAGCGTCATATTCAAGTGGTTTTCATATCTCCCATGGGGGGTGTTTCACAAAGATTCAAGTCGAACTTAACTCTAAGTTGGACTTAAATATTATGGAGAGCCATTTGTAGCCTTATAATGAAATACATTCAAAAGCAAAATTCAAGTATTTTAGACTTTTCATAAATTACACATCAAGAACATGAAATCTCCCAAGATAATAGAAATATGAATGATTTGAATCAACATTTTATGCCTTTTAAAATTATTTTTACCAAATATTTTCAATGATGCTAACGGCTTTCCATAATTTTTAAGTCCAACTTACAGATAAGTTCAACTTAGGATCTTTGTGAAATACCCCCCCTGGGGGGTGTTTCACAAAGATCCTAAGTAGAACTTAACTCTAAGTTGGACTTAAAAATTATGGACAGCCATTGGAGTCTTTAAATGAAATATATTCAAAAGCAGAAATTCAAGTATTTTAGACTTTTTATTAATTCCACATCCAGAACATGAAATCTCCTTGATGATAGAAAATATGAATGATTTCAATAAACAATGAATGCCTTTCAAAATAACTTTTACAAAATATTTTCAAAGATGCTAATGGCTTTCCATATTTTTTAAGTCCAACTTAGAGTTAAGTTTGACTTAGAATCTTTGTGAAACACCCCCCTGGTCTTATATAGAATAAATAATTGTTGGCGTAAGGTCTCCAAAATTGAATTTTGTCAAGGCCAATGGATCTGCTCAAGGTCGGAGTCTCGACGGCTCAAAATATTCCAGCAAAACCCTTTTTTTTCTTTTTTCTTTTTTTGCCCCCGGAAATGTGAAAATCGCTCCGTTTTTTCTGACAAAACATGGGAAATCGTGGAACCCCCCCCCCCCCCGGATTGACGCCCATGATGCTGGGGATGGGCCTATAATTGCAGCCGGATCCCATGCCCTATTAAAGACCGTATGATTTCTTGTAGCCTATTTATTAATTGATTGAAAGAGTTTGGTTAACTATAATTTTATGCGGGTGATTTTTGCTCTCCCTATTTGAATTAAATGATGCATGTGGTAAAGCGGCGTAGCCACGAAATGGGAATGCAAGGGGCCTCCATATTTTATTTTTTCTATCTTATTTTTGGGGAGGAACAGTTGGAAGGGCACAAGAAACTAGTTGGAAAATCGCTTGTTTAGTCCCGGAAGAGGGGGGGGGGGGGGTACTCACATTTTAAGACATACGTGGGTGTGCCGCTCTAATGTGTCACTTTTTTCACACAAAAATCTCTGAACATGGGTCCCAATTTTAACAATAATATCCCTAAACATGCATGGTCCGTTTTTATGGCAAACACCCGAAAATAGTGAAAAATGGGCCTTTTTATTTCGAGAAAAATCCCCTCAAATTACCCTTAAAAATGGGTAGGGGTTTCGAGACTTGAGCGGCACCCCCCCCCCCGTTCTAACCAAATCTAAACACCCCCCCCCCCGGGGGGGGGGGGGGGGTTCTTCGAGTGAACACAAATTAGAGGCTAACTTTTGCGTGCGCACGCCTGCGTCAGGCCGATGTAACTAGAAATGAACAATAATCTGGACAGAGTAGCATCTCTTTGCTAGCTTGATCCCTAAAGATTTATTGTAAATTTTGTGAAGATAAAAATACAAATGATGTATTTTTATATGTAAATAATATTTTTCTTTGTCCAAATAGTTTTTTTCGAAATCTGCAGTCAATCTGTATGTTTTTTCTTTAAAGTTTATAAACAATATTTCGAACTGTTTCGAACGAGCCTCTATCTCGCTCTCGCGCGAAAGTTGTGTGAAAATAAGTATTATTTTTCATGTTTGTACTATTCAATTAGTAACAATACATCTTCTAAAATGGATGAAATAGAATCAAGCCCTGCGGTGGATCTCAAATCCAAGTCAGGAGAGTCTGTGAAAGCCGGAGGATCTGGAAAATCGGCATCCTATGAAATGCCATGGTAAGTATTCTCTATTTTGGTCCCATTCACCTTTAAATATGTTGCCTACACTGTCACTAGTTATGAATGAAGATGTGATTTTGATCGGTCAGTTCTGCTAAGATTGACTTTTTCTAATGTACATAAGAAAACCTAGGCCTACTACACGTCTAAACTCTAATTGGTTTGAATGTCAATTTTTTTTTCTCAGAAATTAGATTACAAAACAAAAACAAGCAAAATCAATCATCCTGGCCTGAATGACCTGATGATTGAATCTTTGGCGCTAACCAATGCTAACTGTAGTTCCGTATCCATTTTTTTTTTAGCAGTTTCATATCCATTCTTAGCAAGGGAATTTTAGCCCAATTTTTTACTAGTTTTAATCATAATCATATATCACATATTCCACCTGAATTTGGATCACATCCGACATCGGGAAACCTCCGTTTAAGTAGTCATAATTATGAAAAAATAAAATTCCAATTAAAATTCCCGTAATGGCGATAGATGTATACTGATTTATCTTATACATCATATATGCAAAGCAAATTCACTGAGAACTTACCCTAAATCACAAATTTAATTAATAAAGAGATTTTTTTTTTGCCAAAAATGGCACTGCCACTAATTGCCCACTTCCGTACGCGAAATCTCTCAAAATTGAACCCGGCCGGGGCGGGAAGGGTATCATTAGCACTGGTATGTTCTATCGCTGAAAGCTTGTGGGCCTCTGGAGTTGTCAACATTCAATCACAAATTACATAAGCTTTCCGATAATACCACACTTTAAGGTGGTCCCTACCGGTCTCATAGTTAATTTCGTAAAAACAGCACAAATAATCGCTCATACACGGTCAAAATTGCTCTTACTACTGAGCTCAAAGGTGATTTTGAAGACAAAGACAGATCGGGTTGACGGTGATTCTGATGTCAGAAGCTTTGTAAAGTTTTCCAAATAAGGTAAGTGCTTATAAATATTCATGAGAGGTGAATCACAAATAAAGAAAGTGAAATTCATCCGCCCCTCGTATTGGCACACACTGCACAAAAGCATGTTCGCTGGTGACAAAGAGTCCAATGCAGCCAGAGGGTGATTTTGCAATATCGCCCTCATGCGGTCATTAGGGACCCTAGTTTAAGGCTTCGATGTCGACGTCGTCGCTCAGTACCGTCTCTACGACTATGCTTGCAACTCAAACTGAAGTCATCAGTCCAAAATTATGCAAACTTTGTGTATGGTTTATGGTATCGTGCACATGCGTAATACCATAAACCATACAAAAAGTTTGCATAATTTTGGACTGATAACTTCAGTTTGAGTAGGCAAATTCATGCAAAAAAATATATTCAAAAAATTGACTTGAAAACACATCACACAATTAGTCTGAACCGAGTCAGGAGCAAATTTGAAGAAATTATATTTTTAAATGTTGTAAAACCAAAGATATAAGAAGAAAACTGACCAAGTATCTGTACTAAAAATCGTACATGTAAAATTGGTCGTACACATTCGACAGCTCTAAATGACGCGCACGGTTGCGTTACGTGCGTTCTCGAATCCAAAAGCATACCTCACACACACACTCTCACCATACCGCGAATGGTCCGTCTTGGGGAGCTAGCCGGCTGAGAGTTTGCAGCGATACCAACGCAGCTTCGGAGCTCCACAGCGCGCCATTTTAGCGGGACTCGGAAAGGTTTGCGATGGGAAGGCAGCGGCCTAGCTTTTTGCCCAAACAACGCTAGATCGGCTGCTGGCAAAATGAAAATAACTACGATCGAGAACATCGTCGGTTTCTTAACTTTTCAGTGAGATAATTCTGAATTCTAATTGAGACTATATAATAAATTAAATCGACAAAGAAACCTCGGTAGAACTCTTATAACTATACAAAAGCTTGTTTATTTCTTCATTTGACATTTTGTTTTCGACCATTTTTTCGTGCGCGAGTCAATGTAAACTACTATTACCAAACTTTCAACACGCAAGGAACGGGGAACACTCGCTGACCTCGTAACAAATTCGTTGCAAAAAAAAAAATTCAAGGGTGATTTTGAAGCAGTGAAGAACATTGGCGCTGCAATGCGCAGAAATATACTTGAAAGAAACTTAAAAAATAATACCTGAATTTTCAGAAAATCGTATTTGTATTAGTGTACCTAGATGTTACTCGTTTATAAATCAGATTTTATGAAGATTTGTCGGGAAAAAATGTCATTTTTTTCCGTTTGGTGGTCATTTCTAGGCTAATATTTCAGAAGTTGCATCAGTAATGGGCCCGATGTTTCTCTTATCGTACTCGCATGTTATTTCTACATAGATTAAACATAGGATGGTTAAGGGTAAGACCAGATAACATTATAAAAAAGATATATCCTTCCACCCTCCCATATCCAAGTTTTGGGCTGATTATTGCCGACCCACCGCAGCAAGGCCATTCAGATTTTCGTACGCTCGCAAAGCGCCCTCTAGTGCCCCATGAATGTGCCTAGTTTGAGGTGCAGAGCTATAGCTTAGAGACGGTACTGAGCGACGACGTCGACATCGAAGCCCTAAACGGAGGTTTCCCGATGTCGGATGTGATCCAAATTCAGGTGGAAAATGCAATATATGATTATGATTAAAACTAGTAAAAAATTTGGCTAAAATTCCTTTGCTAAGAATGGATATGAAACTGCTAAAAAATGGATACGGAACTACACTAGCGCCGAATCTTCTTCTTCTTGGCTTACTATCCTCCAGTTTGGAGAACTGCAGTTGGTGCAGGTGTTGGTAGTAGGTCTACACATATAAAAAGGATAGTGAAAGTGAAAGTGAAAGTGAAACAGAAAGTGGAAGTGGATGTTGAAACTGAAGAAAAAAAAAGTGAAAGTTGCAACGAAAATCAGAAAATCAGAAATAAATTAAATGATGACGCAATATTTTAACTTGAATTTTGAAAAGTTACAATTAAATTGTTTATAAGAAGTTAGATGCTATGCTATTTTCATTATTTTTATAAAATTAATTGTAAGCCTGGGTCAAAATGTTTAACCGACGTATAAACAACCGCATTCATCAAAACCGTTTAACATTTCTCCCGTTTATTTTTGTGCAGTTTGTTACATGTGTTTTGTTTTTGTTTTTTAAACTTCATTGCCGATACGGAACTCCTAAATTAATAATTATTGACAAGACTTTATTGCCGATAAGGACAACGAAGACTTGCCAATAATTATTGTTTTTAGATCTCCGTAGGGGCAACGAAGTCTTGCTGATAATTATTGATTTTAGATCTCCGTAGGGGCAACAAAGTCTTGCCAATAATTATTGTTTTTCTTACTTAGAGGTTGACTGCCGCTGAAATTGACACAGCCATGAATTACATAACATTAGTGAGTCAAATGTATTTTAGACTAGTTACACAGTTGTTTTGTTAGTTCATCTTTTCTTTCAATCTTGTCCTTGTTTAGGGTTGAGAAGTATCGTCCCACAAGCCTGTCTGATGTCGTTGGAAACGAGGAGACAGTTTCTAGATTAGAAGTCTTTTCCAGAGAAGGCAATGTTCCTAATGTCATTATTGCTGTAAGTATTCAAGGCAGTTTTTATGTTAGATTGAGGTTGTAGAGTTGCCTGCCATATATGTAGCATATGCACTGAGAAAGCTTTAGTTGGATAATAAAAATAAAGATAAATAATAAATGAAAGATAATCAGTGATTCGTTAACTCACTCTGTATGGTAAACTGATGCTTTTATAGTATCTGACTAAGTACTTTATCCAAGTATCTCTCCTTGCCTAGCTATATTATGTGTAGGTGTAAGAAAAACATTTCTTTCAATCCTTTTGTTACTATATACTGGATGCTCCAAAAAAAAGGGTAATGGATATGGAAGTGCAAAGATACTCTAACCTTTTATGTGGATATATTTAATGTGTTGTATCATGTTTTTGTGTGAATGATCAGGGACCCCCTGGAACTGGTAAGACTACAAGTATTCTGTGTTTGGCCAGGACCATGCTCGGAGCATCATTCAAAGATGCTGTCCTAGAAATGAATGCATCAAATGAAAGGTGAGCTTTTGTTTGTACCCTGGATAAATCATCTTGTCAATAGCTCATTTTGGATGCCTCATTAGAAAAACGAAAAGAAGAAATGAAACCTTTTTAAAAGTTTTTTTAAAAGGTATTTAAAACTATTAACAAAGATTGGTTTTTGAGTAATCATAAACTACAATCACAATGCGGTCACTTGGGTGCTTCATCATATTTTTGGTTTAAATTATGCACATGTGTTTGGACAATGCCATGTCTCATTTGACATATGCCTATTTTACAAACATTTAACTTGCAAATTAAAACTCTACTCTGATGTTTGCACAAAATGGTGATATATATTGAAAAATGAAAAGTCAGTAGTGATATTCTTTTACGTTCTAGCTAATTCTATTTCATAACTTGTCCATGTATTTTTTTTTAAAGCATGAGTTTGAACCAGTATTCAGCAAAACTATTCTAGAATTTGTAGTTTGTACAGATCATGCAATTACCCAGTTAGAAACAATGTTTAAAACAAATAGTGTAAACAATCAAAATTGATTCAATTGATTTCTTAAACAATTTATAATTACAGAGGAATTGATGTCGTGAGGAACAAGATCAAGATGTTTGCCCAGAAGAAAGTAACCTTACCCAAAGGAAGACATAAGATCATCATTCTAGATGAAGCAGACAGGTATTTATCATTTCTCAAAGAAGTTCACAGTTCACACCATATGTTGCCTAATAACGTGGATTAAAACCAGTTAACCTTTCTCCTAGTCTTCAATAAAAATGTTTTTTTTAGAGCTCTACCTTCTTTAGTGTGACATCAAATTTGTGATCATGTCAATAAGGCTGCAGTTTTTACCTCACGGGGTTATAATCCTGGAGGAGGTAATTTGGGGCTTTTAGGGGGTAATGAATATACTCTATGGAATGAACAAGACTTGTGCTCTTAGTAATACTAGCCCCTTGTTCTCACCAGGAGCCTGCATTGACTGGGAGGGATACAGTCCTGGGACCCGTTTCACAAAGCCTTTTTTTCAATGACAATTGTAAAAAATCAGTGACAAATCTGTTGATAACCAATCAGAACCAAGGATTTCAGTAGCTTATAACAAAAACTGTCATTTGTCACTGATGACAAGTTTTGTGAAACGCCCCCCTGATCATTTATATTTGGAGAGGATAAACTCGAATTAGCCTAGAAGCTAAGTTACCAGGCATTTGGACTTCTAAAGATGAAAAGATTATTACTTTGAAAAGAAGATTAAAATAATTGATCTCAATCATGATATTTAATACCGGTACTCTTGTTCTTGCTTCCTATAGTATGACAGGTGCAGCTCAGCAGGCCATGCGTAGAACAATGGAGGTCTTCTCAAAGACGACACGCTTTGCTCTCGCTTGTAATGCCTCGGACAAGATCATAGAACCCATCCAGTCACGATGTGCAGTACTGAGGTATTCCCGACTTAGCGACTCACAAATATTGAAGGTGATTGTTTGTACTTTTTCCTCCCCTTTTGTGTTTGCTACATTTTATTTTGTCCTCCACAGAATGGAAATTCTTAATTCTGTGTAGTTGTTACAATAACAAAAAATTTAGGAGAACATCTCCCTCATGACACACTATTGACATTTTTAGAACTGCATGGAAATGTTCAGTTGATGTGTTGTTCCATAATGATGTAAAGTCTGGTACATGTATTAATAATAGGAGCTTTAAAAAACTGATAATATTTAGAAATGATTATGTTAGATATTGGTGATCATGCTATCCTAACAATGATGCATGCTGTATGTAATTTTGATATTGTTTAATATATGTTGAATGACCTTTGGTTGATTTTGTTAATTTTTCTTATCTAGCGATTACTTGAGATTTGTGCTGCAGAGAATGTTGATCATGCTGAGGATGGTTTAGAAGCTATCATCTACACAGCACAGGGTGACATGAGACAAGTAAGTAATCCTCTTTAATACGAACATGGCTTGGTCAATAGAAGATAATGTATAGATGCAGTATAGTATTACAGAATCCAGTTTCAAGAAGGAAGATGAGAAGTAAAATGAAATTCCATAATGTGTATTTTATTTGGTAATTTCTTATATTGCATAATTAAAGAAAAGTTAACTGGCTAGACCTCTGGTCCAGTAGTCCTTGTACCCACTTCCAGATCGTCATCATTTATTAAAGTCAGTATTTTCCCTCTTACAAGAGGTAACTGACTTTCATGCTAAGATGACACGACCTCAGTACACTTCTTGTCTCGAGCATCCTCCTCATTTAGATCAACCTTAATGCTTTCTTTCTTCACCATATCTTTCCTTTCTTTGGTCTTGATTTTCCCTCTTATGTTATCCACTTCCACATCCCACGCTCTTTTCACAGGTTTACCATCTTCCCTTCTCGACACATGACCCACCCATCAAACTCAATCAACTTCTCTTTATGTTTATTTGATATATTTTTCTATCCACAGGCCATCAATAACTTGCAGTCAACATATGCAGGCTTTGGATCAATCACCAGTGAAAATGTCTTCAAGGTAACAATCTTTATGTTTGTCTTGTGAGTGTGAGTGTGTATGTAAGCAGTATTCCCAGGAGATTGATAATAGCATTGTTAAGTTCATTGAAGCATTCACATAATGTACCATATTGATGTAAAATGTTTTCATTTTAAGTTGTATGGTATGAACACAGAGTCCCTTACTCCCACATGGAAATCATACTGTACGAATGTTATGTTGTAGGGGCAGCCACATACTCCTGCAGACTCAGTGTTAGTTACAGTGTTGGGTCTAGTGTTGACTTTGATTAATCTTAAAAACTGTAATCATCGCTGGAGCATATGTCATTCAATCAACCGACATAATATGGAGGGCAAAAACGTAAATCCATATTTTACCAAGATGTTCAGAAAAATGTGGGCTTTCAAGGAAACACAAAGACTTAACTCCACCCAACACCCCATTGAAGTCAATGGCTAGTGAAACATAGACTTAACTCCTTAAAGACCATCAATACTACTGGGTCAGAAGGGATTAGACCACACAGCAAGGTCACTGACAGGTGGCTATCTCATTAACTCAGCTCTCAACTAACATAAGAAAGAGAGGATCATGGGGGACCAACAGGCACCGATTGAGGAAGGTTTCTATATAGGGGGAGCAAGTAGCTACAATTAGGGATGTCAGACGCTCGCGCTGCAATCCTGAAATCGAGCCATCAATGTGCGTACGAGCCAACGGTGATTGTAGTCGAAATAAAAACATGCAATCTTTAAAAATTCATTAAAAATCAAAATTAGCAGGAAAAAACTAATTGATTAATAATTACCGTAGATTAAAGTTGTATTCCAATATTGGAAGCATTTTCTTCACAAGAAGAATCGTAGAATCAATCAAAATATGGCAGTAAAGATGAGCTCTAATTCGCCCATTGGCCCTTTGCAAGCGTTTGAAAGGCATTGCTGCAGCCATGGCACTGCTTTTCTGTGACTCTCTGAAAAACTGCGCATGTTTACATCTAAATCTGGAGGTGATCCCGGGGTCACACAATGCCCAAATTTGGACATGCCATTCATGAAACTTAGAAAAGTTGACCATGCGCGTTGACTTTTTTGCCTACCCCATACTTTTAATATATTTGAGCAGTAAAAAAAAGTTCCAATTTATAGCGATCTTTTTCTTATAAAAATGAACTTTTTGCAAAAGTCAATGTTAGTATATTTATAAGTGATATCCAAGCTATCTTTGAGCCAAAAATCTAAGGGAAATTCATTCAGGATCATCTACAGATAATCACAAACTTCCGATGTATACTACCCAAGACTGAACAACCGTAAGTCTTGACACTCGCCCTCAACCCCTGGTGATTCTGTGCTGAACACGTACGGACCGAACGAAATATTTGCAGCTAGAAACTACTTTCCATGGATAAATTGAGAATTTTGATCGACTACAAATGTTGAATATAAGTTTTTCATAATTAAAGACTCCATTATTAAAGCAATAACTCAGTATTTATTATAGAAAAAGAAGTTGAAATGTTGAATGTGTGTACGAGTGAAATGCCGGGAGGAAGTATAAATGAAAGAAAAGCGTGATGTTATCATCAAGCCGCAATGGCCACGTGCGCGCACGTAGAAATTTCCATTGTAAGCGCCGGCATGTGGCTCTTCTTCTAAGTGTACAAACTCCCTCTTTAAAAAAGGTAAAATGCAAGAAATTATTAAAACAATGTTTCAAGGGAAACTAAACACTGTTTCGAGGGAAATTAGGTAGAAATGAGAAATTCTAGTGACTCAGCTGTAATTGTAAATATACAGGTGTTATTCTCCTGATACATTTGTAACATTACAAGAGGTTTTCTGGACATTTACCATATTTGTTTTCCTTTATCAAAAAGCAATTTTACATGTACTTGGAATTGATATATTTTTCCACCATGAATGCCAGAATTTTAATCCAAGTTTACATTGAAATATCATCTTATATTTGTATCGCTGATTATTTGAAAATCTTTACTTGAAAATCAGCGATCCTCCAGATCCTCAAGTCGATCCTCAAATTTTATCAGGAAACATTTTTCCTGTGATATATATATATTTTTTTTAATCTTCGTTTTTCTTTGTTTTTCTTTGTTTGTTGCCATGGCAACCTTATATTTTAATTTTAAAAATGTTGTGGAAAGATGTCCCTGCCATTATCTTGGAATGCAAAGTGTTTTGAGTAGCAATTTGATCTGGAAAGTAAATACCAGTATATTACTTTTTAAATATTTTCTTATTTTCTTTGTTTTGTTTCCATGGCAACAATATATTTAATTTCAAGGTTTCTCTTAAAAATGTTGATAAAAAGAATATAATGAAGAAAAGTTCTGTTGAAATTTCAATGAGAAACAAGATATATTTTTTGAGATATGGCACATCAAACAATGCTTGCAATGTTGAGGTATGTACTCTTTACTATGTACTTAAATTACACTCGGTGCCATGCTTACATTGTAATTTCCTATGCAAAAACTTCAGGAAATACCCCTAAATGAAAATATTAAAAAATTAATATCTCGAGAATCGATTTATATTTTGACTCCATTTTTTTTCCATATTGAATGATAAATTGTGTTCTCCAAATACAGTGCAAAATTGTCATGATTTAATGGACTTCAATTTTTAGTCTAACATCCCTACTACAAGTAGAACAGTGAGGCTTTAAGGCCCAAGTGCTCAGTGACACATAAACCACTTTTTCTCAAAATAGCCAAAACGGAGTTACGTCTTTGTGTCACTGACCTCTCTATGTTATTCTTCACAACTTTACCATTGTCTTCCCGCGCCCCCCTAGGTCTGTGATGAGCCCCACCCTCAGCTGATCAAGTCTATGTTAGACCACTGCGTAGAGGCGGACATTGATAAGGCCTATGAGATCATGCATCACATGTCACACATGGGCTACTCTGCTGATGACATCATCACTAACATCTTCCGTTCCTGTAAGACACATCAGATGGCTGAATACGTCAAGCTAGAGTTTATCAAGGTAAGCTGAAACTAGGTGGTTCCTATAGAAGTTGATATGATTAATTTCTTATCACTGTGGATTGTATTGATTCTGTAGAATATATCTAATGCTTTGAATCAAAGGCAGCAAATTGAAAGCAGCAAATCGAAGGCAGTTGGTTTCATGTAATTGTTTGCCATCAAGAGTATGATAGATGATTATATGATCTCTTAGTATATTATAGAGAAGTGATTATGTAGCAGTGGGTGTCTGCTCTTTAACTGATTAAAATTGTGATGTCAGTTCGTTAATATTTTATTGTAGAGAAACTTATTTGTAATAATCTATTTTGTAATTATGAAATATAGTAAGTAATCAATAACTGTGTAGACTCTAAAGAGAGTTTGGCATGTAGTAATGGATCTCTTCTTTCAATTTTGCTTAAATCTTCAACAAACCTGTAGGATATTATCAAACCCATATGTCTTTTTTTTTTACCCTTTTCAGGAAATTGGAATGACACACATGAGGATCGCAGAGGGAGTAAACTCAATTCTTCAACTCTCCGGTCTCCTAGCAAGGCTGTGCCAGAAAACAGCTGCCCCCTCTGACAAAGCGTGATTGCTCCATCACCAATCACAGGATATTTGCATCAAAAGGATGAGCTATGAAACTGTCTCCTATAAGAAAAAGGACTATCATGCAGAAATACATGAAACGTGTTTTCCTTCATAAGTTACATTTCCCTGATGCACTTGAATTGTTACCCATGGTATTATGGGTAATCATAAAAAAAACAGGGGCCTCTTGTATAAAGTGGACTTTGCATTTAAACGTAAATCCCATATACCCATTCCCAACTGGTTGAAAACAAAGTTACATAGATTTTTTAAATTCCTTTTTCAAGAGGCCCCAGGTATGGAAAGTTTGAAACTAGAACAAATATGGAGAATATGAATAGACCATGTGATGTTTGAAGCAAGATATGTTTCAGTTGTCATGGATGTTCTGAGAACATTATCTTATGATAATGACTTGTTCTATTGATATCTGATCATACTGCTCCTGAAAGCTGCAAGCTTTGAACTCTGACCTAGGCATTGATGATGGTAGTGGCCATCCTCAACATTCTTTCATTATACATGGAATTGGATGAAACTGCTTCTAGATGTAACTAAATGGTGTAGCATTAGGTGATATGTTGTCTTGCAGACCTTACCAAATGTGTAACTTATCCCAGAAATATGTGATTTCAAGATGTTACATATCTTCCTAACCTTACTGAAAAAATGTACTTTGGTTGTGGTTATTTTACCTGACTGCCAAGAAAGCATAAATGCTTGTAAGTAAGCAGCCAGATGGCCGACGGATTTAGGTCCTCTCCGAGGGACCTGGTAATGAGGATTAATGCCTTACCAAAGGGCACTAGCGCATTGGTTTTGAACCCGGGTCACCGGATTACGAGACCAATGCTCTACCGACAGAGCTTTCGCGCCTCCGTCTCATACATATCTTGGAATGCAGTAGCATATGTCATAATGTTTGCGTATGTGTATTATCCATGAATCACTGACTTAGTATGATGTGCTGCAGGTCAAGAACTTCTAGAAATTCTAGTTTTACCAACAACCAAAAAGAAAATAGGGGACACATGAGTTGTTTGTCAAGTTTATATATAACCCTATGTTCCAGATGGAAGTCACACAAAAAAGTATTTAATCCTGCGAGGCTTAAGGCTGGGTATTGTACGATCATAGTACGATGATCATTAGGACCCAATGGTAAACCAAAATCATTCTACTTGTTGGTCGTGTTTCAAAAGAATATTGTGCATCAAAGGCAGTATAGCTGGCCAGACTTTTGTACCAAAGCATACAATATGTACAGACAATATCATTGGAAGTCATAAATCATGTTATGTATTATATTTTGTAAATAAATGCTTTACAAGGAGCACAATATCAATTTTATCTTGATCAAAATTTTTAATTTGTGACTACTTGAACATGTCTCCAACTCCTTCTTGCCCTCTGACTCTCTCTCTCTCTCTCTCTCTCTCTCTCTCTCCTCATCCCCTTCTTTACCATTGAGTCTGTACAGAGTGAACATTCAGGAATCAATTTTCAGCTTTATCTGTTGTTTCCTTGTTAAAGTAGTTATAAAAGCCAGAAGGGCTTTACATCCTACTTTTTGCACCGAGTTCCTAACCGTCTCTGTAAAGACTGAATATCTTCAATGGGTATGTAAACAAAATGTGTACTCCTCTCTTTTGAAACTTAAAGGGATTGGGCAACTTTGTCTCAATTCTGAAACAAAATCCTGGATTTAGCTCATGCTGCAATGATAATTGTAAACCTTTAGGTCAGTCAGGAACCCAATGACTTTTACAAGCCGATTGCATGTCTTATTATCAAGATATTTATGATTGGAAATCAACATTACAAAATTTGTTTTCCTAATGGTTTTCATAACACTAAAGTCTTTTGGGGAAAATGAGTATGGTAAAACCGGTCACTCAAAGATTTTTCCTTTTTTGAGGCACTTCATGATCATCTTGAAGCGCAATACTTGTAAGGCTTCAATATTACAGACCACATACACTGATAACACCTAGGGCCATGCATCTCAGATTTAACAAAGTTAAACGATACCTTTAAAGAAGAGTTTAAAGATTCTCAACCCCTATACCGGTACCTATGCAACATTTACTCTAGTTTTTATTTGTCAAAGATATCAAATTGCAGCCAGTACCTGGGTTGCAGTTGGGGCTTTAGGCAAGGTTTGGGTCTAGGATTAAAGTTATGAATGCTGTTAGTGTGGTAGAGTAGGAAATGGAGCAATGCCACCAAAGCATGTGCTCAAAGACTGATCACATACCTTTATTCCTCAAATTATCAATTTTAAATTGAAGTAAGTACTTGTGATGCTTTTGGTATTCATCACTTGTTAATCCATACACTACCAGACAATAAACCAATAGAAAATCTAGAGAGAATCTTAATCATTTCAACATATTTGCTATTTCGCTTCATACTTTTTATTAACAGAAAATTTGAATATGGATAATACACATTTAATATTCTTATATCAATCTTACATACATACATACATTTACATACAGGTGAAAAACAAAATTTAAAAATAATTGTACACTGCTAAATCTGTCTTTAATTTCAAAAGAAACCATAATATATATATAGATCAATATTTATGCATTTTATGCATAAAAAGCTGAAAAGGTAAGCCTTTATTTTTGTCAAAATTGCTAATATCCCCAGGAATAACAACAAGTGTATATTCAAATGTTTTAAAGTTTTTGCTCTGCAAGAAGATACCATTGTTTCTTTGTGAAAACGAAAATGAAACATTGCTATAAATTTAGACTAGCATACATAATAACAAGCATGGAGAAATATGGATGCTATCAATAACAAAGAAATCCTTTGATCAAATCAAATTTACCTGTTTAGGTACTACATATGTATAAAGTCCCTTGTAAACAAAGATGGTCATCCATCATCAAATACTTATTTTCTTATAGCAATTTAGCAGATACATGTTTTGCACAAAATAAAATTTGATATTTTACCAAAGATCAGAAATTTCCCTAATATTACGTACAATGTTCACAAAATAACAAAGCTACTTTTGCAAAAGAATGTTTATCTCTGGATATATCTAAAACTGCAGTTATACAATGGAACAAATGTCTGTTATGGCTAAAAAAAAAAAAAAAAAAATTCTTAATGTAACAATATGCTTAGGTATTCTACAATATGTCTCTAATCGCAACCATAAATGAGGTTGTGTATAAAACTCTTAAGAAAAACATTGCAAACAAAATTTGGGAGATTGTCTGATATGTGGAAATAACGTTCAAGTTTCAAAACACAATATTTTCATAAATCATGAATAGTAAGTTGAATAAGGTCACAAAATAGGTGAAAAATGAGATTTTGATGTATTAGATACTGAAAACAAAATGGAATTTAAATATTTAAAAAGGAAATATTTATGTCTAGCAATTAAAAGTTCACAATAAGACACATTTTATCCTCGAAGAATACAATGCTCAAGACAACAATGGACTGGAAGAATGTGACCACACAAACAACATGCTCCAAATAGACGACAGTGGAGCATCTTGACTTGCTGTCAAACCAGAATAATGTGTGAATTGTAAATAGCTACTTTTGCAGAGAGGAGCTTTCGTGAATTGCAAAAACTCAGTTGTGTCACTTGTCATTCTATTACTTTGCGGTATGCAGGTTTAAAAATCAGAACCCCTCGCGAAAGTTTATAACATGCAAAGGATTCTGTTTTTTCAGTAGTTGTTTATTTTTTCCTAAAAAATTTCAAATGTACAGCAGAAGGATGTTTATAGTGGCAGAGCTTTTATACATGAAGTAAGTTCTTTTAAAACCTGGCTGTCCTTTGAGAGCCATGCATTAATTACCTCAAAAAACACAAGACAGAAACAAAAATAAGGTAAATACAATATGAAAGATAATCAATAGGTCATGAGAAATCTAAATAAATTATTTACTGAGAGCTGAGGAAATGCAATACTTGCAATTTAATAAAAAGAATAGAGTCCAATATAGGAATTATCCATTTGCATGTGAACAGGTTTACTAAATTAACAGAAGATTGTTTAATTACCATGACAAATACAATTGTAATTTATTCGCACAATCACAATATATTCATGGGATGATTATCAAACAAGAACAAATAATATTAAATTAACACTTGTTTACAAATCTCTAACATTTACAATTAAATGAATCTTGGGGCATATATCACATAATTTTATAAACAGGTTAAGCAAATCAACGCTTTAATTACAATTGTTATAGCAACACACTGTAAATAACAAAGAAAATAAATCTTTTTATACTACGGTCTTTCCATACAGTATTAAATTGCTCTGCTTAAAAGAGTCCATGGGATATTATAAGAGTAGGAAACGATTACATTACGGCTAATTCACACACAGATATTTAATGATATATGAATTCATAGATAATACCAGGAGCTGCTATTGGTAATATCACATTGTAGAATAGATACCATAGACATGGGTATAGATAGGCCTTTCAGTATATAAGAATATACATGCATATCATAATATATATCACCTTTTCATTTAAGGTTACATTGCAGTTGATATGAGAACTCTGGGAGAAATGGGAATATCAATTTTGACTATGATACATTAGCATTCCATCACTTGGCCAGTATATATTACAGTATAGATTATCAGTACCTTCAAGTTTCTTGGTCTTAATAGCAATTTTTATTTCTCATTCGCTTTTTGACCCAGTCTGATCGAAGCAGTGTGATCAAGCAGAAACGAAACACTAGGTTAGAAGATATTAATGTAAGATGGAGGCGAGTGTTTGTGAATGTTTTTGTGGGGGGAGAGAGGGCTGTATCCTACACAGATCTTTAATCAGAGAAGATGCAATCTTTGTACAATCACAGTCAAAACTGCTTTAGTGACCACCCTTCTACAAAGACCAAATTTTGTGTTTTCCTTGAAAATATTTTCTCTTTGAAACATGTACTAAAGGAACCTGTCTACAAAGACCACCTGTCTACAACGACCATTTTTTATGTCTCCCTTGGGCGGTCGCTATAGACAGGTTTGACTGTACCTGCTTCCTGAAAATGAAATTAATTTGATGTGCATTGCTATGCCAACAGCTGCAAATGAAGTAATACCGTTTGTATATATAATACATGCACATAATACAAGATGTAAAAAGTGTACTTTGTCGAGTTTCCAAATTTAACCATATTCTATACAAGATTCCTTGTTTTGTTTCTAGAGTAGAGGGTATCAAGTACAAGCTTCTACCAGTGCATCCGTGCAGAGGAGGGGTTAGACGTGTTTAAAACATTTACTTCATTTCTGCTTGTGGATTGGCAGTTTTATTTAGGAGAGATGGCTTATGTGATGAATATAGTGAGGTAACCACTTTCCATAAGAACTGATAAATATCCAGCAAACTTCTGTGATAACTGAAAAACAGATTAATACCATCACATACCATCGGCTGAGGGCTAGAGGGGAGTTAATTCAATGTAAAGCGCCATGAGTTTCAACCCTCCTGGCTCTCAACAGACAACACATACATGTTAGAATATTAGACAAATTATAGGACAAATTCTTTATAAATATTTCCAGGTTTGTATCATGGTTTTAACTATTTTGCGCATAATATGTAAAGATTAAATAGATACATGTTTTCATTTGACTAGTCCACACACTGCATTAATGTAAGCTATTTTAAACGGATTATCGATTTTTATGATTTATGTATCAAAATCATCCACTACATGTATATACTACATTTCTACAACAACAAATACATAAAGACAGACAGACTTCTTGACCCTACGTGCTAATTCTTCAAAATTAGTGTGATAAATTATAATTTTTGTTCCCCTTCAAAATGAACATTTAGTTAGAATATTTCAGATATATCTTAGAATTTTTTAAATGATGATGAAGGGTGGCATTTTCTTGGCATAAAATCATTTATTTCACTATCACATAATTACAGGATTGATCTTACAATTTACTTGGTTTACATGTAACAATTCCTAAAAGGTCAGTATTTTTTAAAGTTAATCAACAATAAAAACTCATCACTCTAATTTGGCTAAGTTTTTTTTATGGATAGGATCACAACTAACTAGTTATCTTGAATACTATTTTAATTCTGTGTATCTATAGTTTTATACCCAAAATACAGAGCACTTTCTGCATTATTATTCCAAATATATACTAGAATAGAATCTTTCTACATTTGTATAAACTTACATCTCCTCTGCCATGCCTAACATCTATAGAGCATTTTGTTTACGCTTCAGTATTCACTTATCTTCCTCATTTGCCAAAAGGTCCAACTAGAGTAATTGATAAGCATTAATATAATGCCAACAATCTAAATAAAGGCACTTTTCATTTGCACAAATGCAGCTCAATATCTAGTTTTTAACTACCTGCCTACACAAGATTGAAGATTTCTTAGACTGCGTTTACACAAGCATATTTAGTTCTAATTCATAAAATGTCTATCTTTTGATAAATGAGAAAGTAAGCAAAATAAGAGTTTGTGGGGTGAAGGGATGGAGAAGTAGGTCATGGACTGCTCATTCTGATTTTGATCTGTATCACCAATCTCGTTCAGTTTTTCATTTTCATTTTACATGCTTTGGAAATGATTATAATATCACATGTTATTTCGTTCAGTAATGAATGGGTAAAACGTTGGGGAAAAGAGGTTTATATATTACTTTTATGAGAGTATTTACAAACACTTTTAATACTTTTGAAGATTAAAGTGGGGAAAACAGAAAGGTGCATACATCATTACATGCTGCTCATTACACCAAGCTAACTCGCATGACTTTAACATATCTCAATAGCTATAACCATTGTACTCTGAACTTAAGTTTCATACAGATTTATATATCAGGATACTGTAACAGAAGTAAAAGGGAACATTCCTACAAGGATGTTATTAAGAGTCAGAAATTACGTTCGTCCCTTTCTCCTCTCATAATTTGTCATATCCATAGTGCATTGAAAGATAGTTGTATCACGTGCATGATGGGTATGTACACGCAAGTGCGTGCATAGGTTCAATCGCGTAGCTCCAAATAGTTCCAATCCGCGTATAATATCTACTAGAGGGAACTATTTAGCTCTCCACCGAATGGCTGACCAATCAGAAGTGACTAACACTGGCGCAACTATCTCTAAATCAACTAGCTATGGTCATTAAATGGCAACCCTCTTGTGCTACAGAGAAACCAGCCCAACACTTCCACATCGTATCATTCCATTTATAAATTTCAAATAGTCAATGGTGTGGAGAAGAGAAGGAGGGCGTTCACAAGGTTTGACATGATATCCCCTATACCTCATGCCAAGTCATTACCCATAAGATACAATTCCTAGAACTTTGGCGAATGAGAAACATGGGCCACAAGTAAGATACATTTTCAAAAACAACTTTACATCTTAGGTAATACCTTATATATGAAATGCACTTGAAATATACATCTTCTATACTTCTATTCCATCTTTGATAAACATCTGAATAACATATTGCATCCTAGGAAAAGTGCAAACATTCCTGACTACCTAGTGACAGATGCATCAACCGTCGCGTACTGTGCCCATCTGTCTGCTGCCCTCTAGTGCGTGTTCGTGTCTATGAAGGTCGACCTCTAGGCGTTGATGACAAGGCTGGCAGACCCTCTGTGGTTGGTAGAGCTGTTCTCTTGGGATCGCTATGAAGAAGTTACTGCAGGTAGCACAGAAGATCTGACCACAGTTCCTGCAAGTCAATGAGGAGAGAGAGAGACAAACAGTCAGGCTCAAAGATTCAAGAAGCATTACGGACTAGGTGTACTTCTCTCCTAGTAATTGACCCATCTCAAATGTACAAAAACGCATGTTGGGTTAAGGTAAAGCTTTTGAATAATTGTTTGCCTCAGGGTAAGGGTCCATAGCAACATTTTGAAGGATAAATTACACTTCAGAATTTTTGGAGTTTGAAAGTAACTAAGTTCAGAACCCTTGTAAATTTAGGTCCTGGTATATACAAGAAAATAAAGTTAGCATTGGCCTCACGGCAAAGCAACTGGGATTTTTTTTAATCATTGAATCATAAAAAGCTAAAAATTCTGTGTTATTTCAAATAAAAAGCCCATGTTTTGTTTGTTTGCTTGTTTTATTTGAAGAAAGATGATAAATCTGTACAAATGGAAACATGCACAACAATCCGCCTGTTTCAACCATGATTAAGTTCCTCTCATTTCCCTTTTCCTGTAGTGTAGTATACTTACCGGCAGTGGTGTTTTCTGACGACTAGATTGAATCTGCTATTGCACAATGAGCAGTGACTGACAGCATGATCTGGGATCCAGAGAGTTCGACTGGTATCACCCTCATCTATCTGCTCCCAGGATACATCTGATCTGATGGAGTTACAGCGTGAATGGGACCGCTCTTCATCTTCAGGGTTCAGGAGATTACAGTTCTGCAGATATGAACAAAATTACAGAAAAATGATTAACTATGATGAAATAGAAAAGCAGATGATAAACCTATCTCCTGCATTCTTATGATATGTTTTATTCTAAAAGGGTATTAATCTCCATAGGGCTCAAATAAGGCAATCATAACTTGGAGAACACCCCCCTCTCCCTAAAGTGACGTGTACTTCAACCAAGAAACCACAATGAAACATTTCTTCAATATCCCAATAATTATTCTTCCCTTTGTAGTGCATAGTCATACAATTTTCAAGCTATTTTTAGATGAATAACATGTATCTGCTATGTAATAAGGACTATAATGAACCAAATTCATGATCACTTTCAGATGCAAATTTCAAGGAGAGTTCAGGAAAAAATATTTGGTATCATGCACAATCTTACCTCTAACTCGTCTAATGCACAAGCCAGGGCAGGACTGCATTCTTCATTGGCGACCCGCAATCTTTCAATGATAGCCAGTAAGATCTGCTCCCTCTGTCTCATGGCCTCCATCTTGCTCTGCTGCTCCTGCAGGATTCCTAGCATCCTACGCTGCCTGGGATCCTTGATGCACGTCAGTCCATCCATGTCCAGGTGACGACCAAGCTTCAACTGCCTCTGGGAATCCCCTAAGGCATCACCACCCATTGCATCCAAGCCGTTGCTATTGCTGCAGCTGGATGTCCTACTCAAGCATGTAGAGAAAGATGGCTCTGACCCCACAGCAGCTGACTGGGAGATGTGATTGCTATGTCCATTAGAAAGGCTACCCCCTGAGGATAATTTGCTAAGATGTTTCGCTAGAGGTGTAATGTCCCCATCATCCGATGATGGCAAGTATGGAATGTGATGTTCAGTCGGGAGAGGTACACTTGGAGATTTCTTAACCGGGTACCCAACGTGAGAATTACTAATGTCACTAGTGCTAGTACTGATACTAGAGCTTTGAAACAGCAATCCTTTCAACATTGCTGCATGTCCATTTAACATTTCTCCATTGGGAGTGCTTTCACCATTTGATTCAACAGGAGAATTATCAAATCCATTGCAATCCCCTGGACCCATCAGAACCTTGGGATCACCATCTTTTAAATGTGCAGGAGATGGGTCTTCTGTGACAGTTTCTGTTGAACTCTCCATGTGCACATCCAAAATGTGCTTCGATCTCGCTGACTTTCTGGGAGTTGAGCACATAGGACTACCTTCCGGACACTCTTTTTCAAAGTTCTCATCGGTATGACCATTAGTCAAGCCATTACTCAACCTGACATCATGACCATTGGAGATCTGCACCTCACCCTCATTTGTCTGTTGCCGTTCACATTCTTCTGAGGAACCATCAACACCGTTAGTCAGTGGCGCTTCTGAGCCACTACTCTCTTCTTCTGCTTCATAGCCATTTGAGAGCCCTTCCTCTTCCTCTTCATTTTCACTTCCATCTTCCTCAGTATGTCCATTTGTGATTGGTTCATCCTGATCGTCCTTGGGATCCTGATCTTCCCTCTGATCCAGTGGCAGCGGTGGGATCATGCGAGTCTTAGGGGATGTCCCCAGCGTGGACTCCATCTTGAGATCACTCAGGTTAGGATCACTTGAAGTCCTTGTCAACCCCTGCGTGTCACCTCCTATGTTACCACGACTTGGCTCCTCCTCGCTCACTGACTTGTGAATGTTGTCAAAAGACCGAGTTCTTGAGAGCTTGGGGCTTTCTGCAGGGTTGACACCTGACTGGGATGCTTGCTGCACAGGGGCAGGACCTGAATCCTCACAGATACTGTGAGATGTCTCTGACAGGTATACTGCAATCCACAGGTCAAGTTCCCTGATGTTACATGTTGGGTACAATACCTATTCAAGAAAAATAAAGAAAAAAACATTATCTACTATAATCATCAATTCACATGTTATTTTAGTCTTACTTGAATACATCCATCAGCATGATTTATTTTTCACCTAAAACGGTGACCTCTATGCTTTCCTAATATTTCATCAAGGTCCTACTAATTCTGTTTTACATTAAAAAAAAAAATTCAATAAAAATTAATACAAATATGCAATAAATAGAATACAATACATGTAATAAACTTATTTGGTACTGCAGTTTTCACTTTCCTTTCTGAATATTGAGAAAATTACTTCTTTTTTTACTTCATATTTTGATGTTAAATAAATGGATTAAAAACATTGAGTACATAGATTTCCAGTTACTGACCTTGTATGTCTTTGGATCATAGAGGAAGTTCCTGTACTTGTTACCCTCTACGACGATGAGAGACCAGACTGAGCAGGTCCGCTCCTTGATTGAGTTCTTGAGTCTAGCTTTGAGACTGTTACACAGAAATGTCCCAAACAGGCAAGAGTAGGTGTGCTGAACAAGTTTCACCTGCAAAAAGGAATATAAAATATCATGAAATTCAAAGTGGGTGGAGGTTCGACCACGACTTACCAGAAATAATTTCTTAAATACAGCATCAAGGTACTGTACTGCTTATTGATCTACAATCACTCTCATGTCATGTAGATATGTAATGTCAAGTGGATACGTCAACCGATTGTTGATCACAAGGTCCGCAGTTCGAGTCCCGCCGTGGCACTAATGTCCTTTGGCAAGACATTGATCTATATTTACCACACTCAACCCAGGTGATGTTAATGGGTACCTGGCAGGAATTAATTCCTTGAAATACTAGAGCGCCGTAATGGCAGCCGTGCTTAAGTCAGGGTTATAATCTCCCTCTGCGCCTCAAAATAGTTTACTAGATAGATGGCGCATAACAAATGCTGTAGTATTATCATTACCTCATACATGCCAACATTTGAAAATCAGAAATCTGTACAAATTATGCTATTTTCAAAAAAAAGAGGAACAATCCTAACTCTCCTATTCAATACTACAGACAAATTTGTACAGGAAGAGGAACACCTGCATTAAAATGATAATTATCTTCTCCCAAAAAGAGGAATGTTCCTCTTTAATCTGAACAGTTGGCATGTATGTTACCTTCTTTCTCCCATCTATACAACATACTTGTAGTTTGGTTAAATCAAATGAAACAAGACATACGGAGAGGGAGGTCTCTGGGATACATACCAGGAATGTCTCGTTGAATTCAAACGCTGTAGGATACTGCCTCAGAAGCTGATGAATACAGTCAAGCCACTGGAGGAACACTGGACATCTCTCATTGGCATCGTCTTGACCTGGACGATGACCGCATCGATCAGCAAACTTGTGACCAAAGTCAAGCCACTCCCGCTCAACAAGAGCTTGGAAACCCTACAGGAATAAGGACATAATATAGTAAGTAAATGTTTGCAATTCCTTTAACTGAATTAGTTGTTTCTTGAAAAACGGTAAAATATATACACACCCTTTTAGGGACATTTGTGTGAAGAAAAACACCACTGAAACATTGGTTTGTAATTTGTCCTTCATAATTTTTTCACAGGTATCTATAGAACTCAACAAGGAAATTAGTGAAAAAATGTTACTCCAATCCTTTATGAGGAACTAGGTCTTTAAGAAAAGCCTTTCCCCGATATAAGAGATATCAATGATGCTACTAACCTTTAATACTACTTTCATGATGATTAAAAACATACAAGATTTTTATAAAATATAACTTGCTCTGCTGCTAACTAAAACTGGTTTTACAGAATGTATTTAAAATCTAAGCAAGAGGTTGGTCGATTCCAAAGATTTAATGATCAGTTGCTACTACTGATTTCTTACCTGCATGGTCCTGTAGTAAGGGTCAAGCATGATCTCTGCCAGGGCTACAATCTGAGGCGTCCTATCCCAACCATCTGAGCAATGGACGATAACAGGTCGTGCTTCCTGATCAACGGCAGTGACCACCTTGATGGCTGCCTTGAGAAGCATGGACAGGTTCTGAAGCCATTTGGTCGCCTCAAGGTTGGATAACCACCTATAACGATTTAAAAAAAAATATATTCATCTTGGCACTCGTCAAGCACAAGTAAGATATTACGCCAACGGGGGTTCTGTACTTAACCAGAAGAAGAAAAAGTAATTAAAAACTGGACTGAGTTCAGAACATCAGTGGCATAGGGCATGTATGGGTGCTATTTACAGTGGTCTTGGCAGATAATTAATTATCTTTGGTATAAATTAAGTGAACTGGCCTTACATTATCCAAGGGGTGGTTTGGGAAGACCAAATAACCGATCCAAGTTGAAAGGATGCTTACACATTTATTACGTTAAAGGTAAAGACCAGTTTTGGAAACGCCCCCCTCTCAAAATATGAAATGGAAGCTCTTATTACCAACCATGTGAAAGAATATGTTTTGACTAAGACTCGATAATACAAATTTTGCTGAGAAACCGCCTACTAATTGATATATTTGGTAAATTATTATATCTATTTGGACCTGATAGATATAACGCATGTGTCACGCACGTGTGGGGTTAGCCCCATATACATCTTTCTGTGTACAGTGCTTTTAGCTTTATCAAGACTGGGCCAAATTTCTTATCATTTTGATGATACCAGAACCTTGCAGTACACACCAATATTTATATGCTAGATGATCAACCTTTTCCACAACGTTTCTTTCACAATGCAATCGCATGACCATAACTGGTCTTTATTTTAAGGGTAATTCACTTTTGGGGGGGTAAGTCATTTTTTGAATCCCTTACACTTTGTTTGAACTCTGTGTTATGTACTGACAAGCTATTATAAGAGCCCATCAGAGAGGGACACCGGTGCTATACAAGAAGCCATCATCATGATGTCTCATTGTCAAACATGAATGGCAATCACAGAGTTGGGCTAACTTACGTGGTTTGATCCAGGCTATTGTTGCTACAGAGTGCATGAACAGTGTTGAAACTCTTCCTGACGGAGTGTATGTTGGCCAGACCCATGAACTCTATGTCACAACAGGTGTAGTACTCTAAAAAAAAAGAGAAAGAAAATAAGAACAATCAAAGATATGGTTCCAAAAAACAATGTCAGCATTTGAATTCATGTAGCTCATTTCAACTTTCTCTACATAATCAGCCACATATATAAATCATTTCAACATTATTTCAGTATGTCATGACGCTTAACTTGTGTTACAATGCATGTGTCCTGTTCATTGGAATTCAAGCCTGCATACGATGCAAAGCTATCTCTACTCACGCATGGATATTATTCACCTGTTTAGGTGTATGGCAAAATCTATTATCACTTTATTAAAAAAGTGAATGTGAAAATAAGCAAAAGGTGCCTTTTTTCTGAGCAAAAAGTGATGGGAAATAGTTAGGATAATGTTCCAAGACCAGTGCTTTCGTTTCTTTGCTTCTGTCTCCTGTTTGTTAATTCTGAAAGTTTGCTTTTACCTGGGTATTCACAGCCCCCTCCCTTTGCCCTGTTTGCAAAGGCTGCTGCATAGGACCTGGCATCTATGATCAGAATCGTCTTGGATTGGTTGCTATGTTCATACTCTCCTCTCCTCGTCTCATCTATAATGAACAAAACAAAACAAAAGCAATTTAGAGATTTATCTTACATCTCTTTCTATGGCAAAAAAATATCTGCGAGAACAGACTGTGGGCCTGCAGGTCGTTTCATGAAACCGTCAAAAGTACAAGATCAACAACATCTCGCCATTGTCACTCTACTTGTCCTCTAGTGTTCCATAAAACTATCTTTGCCAAGATGATTAACAGCTGTCCCAAAAAAAAAACTCTTGTCGCAACTCCACATCTGACATATCTTTTTTTAGAATGCTATTTCAAGACAACTTTAAGTTATTCTACGGGCAGCGAAAAAAGATGAGAATTGTCTTAGACTGGTTGATGCATTGAAGCTCTCCACCAGAAGAGCATCAATTCTGTATTATAGAATACAAGTTATTACCCTCTAGTTTTCAGTAGACCATATGTAACTGAAGACCAAAGGTACTATAAGCTACATTTCACGATTATGATGGATTTTTAGTTCTTCTATTTTCAAAGCTAGAACTATGAGGAGTAAAAAGTAGAGACAGAGAAAGAAAACTGATTTCTGACAAACCTTGATCATCTGTGACCCTGTACTGCTCTGATTTGACATAGCCGTTGCTATGGCAACTCTTCTTGTTCTTCCTTGGGTCATCCATGGCACACGCATCCAAGATGGCCGACATGAACCTTTCATCTTCCTCACTCCTCCAACCAAGCCAACCAACGGCAGGTTGACTGCAACGAGCGATCACTGCCCCATTGCCCTTGTGTCTATTCCACAGAAAAAAAATTAAAACGGTGAATGTTCAATTTGACATTTAATTGTATAGAAAGAAGTTCAGTCATTTTATGTTGTCACAGCAGCATTGCTAGAAGGTTTACGTTATGTGAGAACAAGGCTTTAAACAACAACATTAATGTTATGAATGCAGACTCACGCATATGTACTATAAATCAGGATTGTCAATTACCCATTCAAGAGATATGATGATAATGATAATGATGATTCACAGTATTTATAAAGTGAAATATTTTGGCTACCAGCCATTCAAAGGAGCAGGTTCCTATAATAAAGTCCGTATTTTCACATTTACTGAAATAGGTCAGTTTAAAAGCATGGTGTGATATAAACAAATTGAAATAATATAGAAGATGAGATTTTGAACTCATCATTACCTCCAAACAACTGATGGAAATCTCTTTGAAGTTCTGAAGTTGATCGACTTCTTCATGGCATCATCTTCAATCTCTTTTGGTACAATGTGCTGAGTAGGGTAGGTTGTGCAGTACCTAAAGGGGAGAAGAAGAACATTTTTTTTAATTACTTAGATTTCTCACGTTGACAGCAGTAATAGAAGAAAAATACTGCATTTCAGCAAATCCAAGGCATTTCCAGTTACATTCAAGGGTTTAAAGCAGCTCATGGTTGAAATTTCATTTAGATGTGCCTACTTGTTTATTTACAGTACATGAGCTTGAATCAAATACAAAGTGCAACTGCAATACTCTTGCCTTGAACATTTAAATGTGCACCATCCATTAAACTTAGAAAAAAAATTATTGGGGGAAAATGCAGAAAACTGGTACATGAATTTAACTCATAAAGGAATATATTTCTTCAATAATCTTTGAATTCATTTTGCTTCCATGTAATTCTCATCCTGACTCACATTCCTTCATTTACTATCCATGAGCATTCATGTACACTGAACATGACACTTATCATTACCACATGTATTGAATGAGTTCACTTAAATTCACTACCAGTATTTAACACATTTTATGGCTATCTGATAATGGCATATACTCTCATTTGTCCTTTATTCGATCGGCAGTGATCAAAAGATACTCTAACTTTAACCACTTCAGAAAGGCTTTAATTAAATCCTATAGAAGGATCGAGTGCGACATTGGCCAGACATACGACTCAGGTTACCTGTACCCTTATTCATGCATACTAATGATCCCAAACAGCTGTGCTCCTTAAATAAACATGTTATGAATAGGTCTGGATAGTAGGCTTGCATTAAGACGCTATATAAAACTAACCGTTCACTGTTTTTCAAACTTATTTGCAATAAGTTACAAATTTGTCATCCCCAGGGCTGTTCTGTACACATGCCATTTATATAATATAAACAGCACAATAAATACATGTACATTTATCAAGAACCTTTATTACAATACTGGAAGCAAGCCAGATTTTGCTTGTTGGTTCCTAATGATAACTACAAAAGTTTGGTTCACTGTAAACACACAACATACACTTCAAATACGTACATGTACATCGATCATCAGACAGTATTTACATTGTCTATGTTTACATTTAAATGAACAGCCACCTCCCCCTTCCCCACTCCACATCTAAAATCAAAGTCTACAGTCACATGACCATTATCAGGGATCATGGCATAGCATATACAGTACGCTCCCTGTAATTACAGGGTTTTTATATTACTATTCATATAATGACATGTCTACATTTCAGATAAACCTTATATTGTAAACATGGACTTTAATATGTACACCCAGCTTTGAGGGTGACTCTAAATTTAAAGCCATCCTATTGATTCAAACTTGAATAATCTATTTCATGTTCATAATGAAACTCTTCCTAGAAATTAGGGATGATTTCATCCTTGCTCTAAAGAAATGATTTGTTAGAATGACACAAATTTCACTTTAAAAAGAAGGTTGAGTTCTGGGAAGAGGTGAAAAATAATTTGTGAGCGTTATCATTCTTATTATGCAAGTGTGGAAGAACATCAGATAAGACATGTTCCCTGAAAAGCATGGCTCTTCAATTGCCTTCATATTCCAAATATGTCATGTAACATCGTAAAACTCGGGGGTGGGATTTTTACGCCACATGTTCGTGTAGTCCCATATACATCTTTCTGTGTACAGTGCTTGTAACTTTACCAATAATGGGCCAAATTTCTTATCATTTTGATGATTCCAGAACCTTGCAGTGCACACCAATACTTGTATGCTAGATAACCAACCTTTTCTGGTCAATTCCACACCGTTTCTTTCACAATGCAATCGCATGACCAGAACTCAACTTTATCTTTAAGGATGATTTGGAGGAAATTTGTAAAAAGCATATATTCATTATATTTAAAGAAAATGGTACATTAATACTCAGCGATCATTTGAAAATTTCAATTTAAATACTCACTTGAAATCTGAGTTGTCAAATATCCTCCATGCTTTCTTCAAATCAAAGCCTTGCCGATCGATTTCTGTTCCGAATTTACAGTGTGTTACTTTACCTGAAATGATAATAGGATAGGGAAGAAGAAATATAATATTAATATATATTAAAACAGATCACAAGTACAAACCACCAAAGTGTATTGAGATGTTTTCTGATACGCATAAACAGTTGCTAAATATAATGTAAGATAATATTATCATCGGGAAGACCACTTTTCAAACATGATATTAAATTTCAAACGTGTTCTGGTAATAATAATAAAATAATATTATGACAGAAGCCACCACATATAGACCAACTATCAGGCAATATTTATCGAACAAATTTGATTGAAAATATATTCAAAAAATACCTGCAGAATAGCCTTACAAAACTACCATCAAATAAAATAAATGATTGCCTTCAAACCATTTATAGACATGTAAGGACAAGTCTGTACATTGTTCTTCTTTAATATTTTCTTCCTCAACCCCTCTTCATAAATCAATCTCATCACGTACTTAAGAGTTTCATAATCTCCAATGAACACTATCAACTGTACAATAAAAGTAAATATTTGAAGAAGGGTATTAATTTTCATTCTGGAGATAGCTTAAATGATAAAAGATAAATATTCAATACCATGCAATAAAAAGGTATCATGTCATTGTGAATATATTTCAATATCTTAGAAATGTAATGATACCTAAAAAGTCAACTTTGCTCACTTTCAAGAACCATTAAATAACATTATATTTGATCAGGAATATTTATTCAATCCTATCAAATTCATAGAAAGCAATTGTTTAGTAGCACAAGTATATTTACATGACATCATAGCCTATATTCGCAGGAAGGTGAAAGAACTTAAACGACTGTATACAAGCATACATGTATATCTGTTTACAGAGTGTATTACTACCCACAGAGAAAGGCCTACTGAATGAGCTGACATCCAATGAGGTGTTTCATATTCCCAGGGTTCTCGTTTAAATGGCAATCAGCATGTGACCTGACTGATCAGGTGTCAGGTCTCCTAACAAAACTTAAAGGTACATGTACACAAATTGTAGGTGTCAAAATGTGTACTCAAACCTTTAAGCCCCAAAAATGGTTTTAAATATTTTCTACGGAAATACATCTTTAAAATTATTTTAAAAGACACCAAATAAATAGTCAATTCTATTAAAGCCCCACCTGTGGGCTTACATGCAATAGAAACAAGAACAAAAACAAAAGAAAGAAATTGCATTTTTTTTCCAGTTCTATTTTCATCAAGCAACAGAAAGATATTTCTATTTACACTGCATATGTAAGACCAAGATCAAGCAGACAAATTGCAAATAATTTTCAAAACATGACAGTATACATATACACATATCACAAATATGTCCCTAATTTTCAAAACTTAATGTAATTATAAAGATTGAAATGTTGTCAATGTACATGCCGCAGTTTCATTTTGTTTTAGGATTGGGGTTTCTGATTGACTTTAAAGTATAAATTGACGAGAGGATTTATGGTTAGTATCCATTCAAATTCTCCCGCAATAGATGACAAGCTGTCAAAATCACCTGTCTTTTAAATAGACCAAGGATACATGTATACAGCTCGCATTACGAGGAACACCATGGATAAAATCTACTGCCAAGAACACTACTCTAGCTGAAAGGAAAAAAAAACACTGTCAAAAGTCTATAGCCTCATTCACACAAAGTAAAAATTTGCTATCAAAACCACCCTGAATGGGACCCCATCACATCAATTATAACCTGGATGTCCATGGACATAGACATGTACATGTATGATGTATGATGTATCTCGGGTAATTAGATTATTTAGTCTATTGGCTATGCAATATATTGTGTTGGCTTTAATTTTCTGGGCCATTTCCTTTTCGCAGTTCTACAGTAAACATTGAACCATGTACCATTCTTCTTTTTGTATTTCATTTCATGTACCAATCAGTGCCTTGTATAACAACATGAATAATAGATGATAAACAAATCCTGCATTATTTATAACAATATGTTTATTCTCAAATTCTAGTATCTGATTTGGATGATTTCAGTTGTGATTCCAAATTTTCTTAATCTAAAATTTATCTTTTCATTACTGATGTACAGTATGTCCTGAGAAGTCTTTTGAGTACTGATATGAAAAGTACAAAAACCTGTTCCATAAACACTTCTGTTTTAAAAAACTCCCTATATTTGATGAGATATTGATTCCAGTTGTCCTTCTCTTACTCAAAGACAAATCTGTTTTTATTCTTGTTGAATCCTGTTTGCAGCTGTGCTTTAATTTGACCTGGATATCTGACTAAATATTAATAATCATATCACTTCTATCTGCTTTTATCTATGAGTCATCAGACAGATATCTCTAGCCCTAACGCTCATGCCGCCGTACAGCAGATAGCGCATCACCATACACATGTCTCTCCTGCTATACAGACACTCATAACGAGACCACATATATGGCTTGTGTGCAGAAATGATTGTCTGGCAGACATGAAGAAACCAATAAAACATAAAAGACCACTGTACATGAACATTTCATGTGTGGGTTTATGCAAGTTCTGAATGATAATCAAGATGTTATCTGTATGGTTTCTTTCTATTGAACATACAACACATTTTGTAATATAGCTAATGAACATAGATGTATTTATCACAAATAACCTGTATTTCACCATAAGTTTGCCTGAGAATAATGTAATAATAAATGCATGTTAATGTAGGAAAGCTTTGAAATATTTCAATGTTTTTTCTCCAAATCAATACTATCTGTAAATGAGAGGAAAAGGAAGGCCGAATATTTCTTAGAAAGATGTAGTGAAGAAAGAAAGCAGTAATGGCGTAAAAGTCGTCAGTTACCCCTTGTTAGAAGGATAAAGCTGACTTTCATACATTATGATAATTTGGTAACTTGTGATGTAATTAACAGAACATGACTCATGATCTAATGACCAATACCCATTTCCTTTGTTTCAAGAAATTTCCTTGTTCCTGGTAGAAAAATATACTCTATACTTAATCAAAATTACAGATGGGACTTTGTAAAAGAAAACAAATGAAATGGCAATAAACAAACAAGACTGACCTGCTCTTAAAATGAGATTAATATGTAATCATAAAAAGAAACAAAAAAGGTGCTCATAAAATATGACAGAGAAATTGAAGAGGCTATTAAAACACAATACAAAATCAGGAAGTATATAATTGAAAAAATCAATTACTTTTCATACCTCACTTGAGGACAAATGCAAAAACAAAGCTCTATTAATAAGACATGTATCAATATTTTTAGAGGTTAAATAAGAATATTGTTAAACTAATAGCTTGCACCACTTATTGACTATTGAAATAAAGTTAATTGCTCAATTGTTAATTATTCAAGAAGGACAAAGTCCATTGAGATTACACTTGAATGTTAAGAGGAAATATTTAAAAACTATTTCAGATCAAATACATGAATGACATGAACAATTTCATAAGTTTTGTTCTATCCTATTGTTTGTAACTTCCTGTATGGTTATCCAAATTTGTTCTTGCCTTTACTTTGTGTAGATAAGGATAAGGGCTCAGGATGCAAATTACTTCAGTGAAATGCTAGGTTTAGGGTTGGGTTAGTTTGTGGGTCCAGAGTTGAAAATGTAAAATTGTTTAATGTATTCTAACGAATTGACTGGCAATTGTCCTCAGATCACATGTCTTTAAATTGCATACAACACAAGAAGAAGACAAATACTGACAGGTAGACAGACACACAGACAAGTAAAATCATACTGACTACACAAATACTTACTAGATCCTTCTAAAAAGCAGACGCCAGGTTCAAAGCCATCAGGCTCACGATGTTCCTGTATATGATCAAAACACCAAGCATGAAAGGAGAAGGCAAAGATGTCATCTAGCTTTGAAGGTCTCTCAAGCGTCTTCTGGACACGGTAGAGCCACTCCTGACACTGGTCACTGGTATCAAATTGGCATCTGAGGGACAGAAGAGTGATAAGAAAAGAAGAATAAGAAGAGGAAAGAGAGGGTAGACGAGAAAGGAAGATGAGGTCAAGAATGAAATACAAAAAAAACAAAAAATAGAAAGGGGATTGATGTTGAAAGCATTATAAAAGCATGATGAAATAGAGTGATGGCATTCAATGGGATAAAGAGGCAGATGGTAGAGAAAATGAGATAAAGTAGGAGAGAAAAAGAGAGAGAGAGAGAGAGAGAGAGAGAGAGAGAGAGAGAGAGAGAGAGAGGAGGGAAACAAAGGAATGAAAAGGATGAACAAAAAAAGTGGGGAATTAAGTAAAGTGCATAAGATTTTTTTTTAATTAGTAGTATTTAGTACGAAGGTGAGATGATAAAAAGTAGGGATTGATGGAGGAGAGAGAGAGGAAGTATTAAGAGATGAGGATAGTGGTAACGATGGAAAGAAGAAGTTATATATCTAGATTAGAAATCCTATAGAGGAAGTCATAACCAAGGCATAATAACAGCTCAGTTTGCATTCCTCTCATGATCAACCTATGCTATAAAAGCAGATATTGATATCTACGGTTTTATGACTAACGATACCTGTATGTAGGCACTATCCTCTGCCTAATTGCACCAGTTTATGACACAAATATCGCAAAGCTGATTTTGATCTTGCCCATCTACCGGATGGACGGGACGGTGCAATTTCAGATTAATGCAAAGATAAAACTCAGAAATAAGTGCTGAGTACATGATGTAGTTTCCACTCAAGTTGCTTTCATTATGCAGATGATTTTTTTTTCTTCTCTCTTTTCTCACCCTCTCGATGTTTTTTTTCTTCTTCTGCATAAAGAAGTGAAAATATTGTCAAATTTTAGTGTTGATAGGGAAAAGCTTGAAAGCTAAAGATAAAACACTATGAATATCTTCTCCTTTTTTGTTTTGGATGTGGTTATAGCTGCATGGCTACAATAGTAATTTTCTGACCTTTATTTCTGCCAGTACAATCATATACAAACCAACAACCAGTTCATTTAAAAATGATTGTTAGTAGCCTTCAGATAGATTTACTGGCAGAGAGAGACCATAATTGTGTTCTGCTCATGAATACATACTGTACATGTAGCATGTGAAAGCACAGTATAATATATATGACCAATGTTTATATGCACAAACATGTTGGCAGGTGACTAAGACACTGACATTTCCATTAATTACTGGTATTGTTTTGCAATAATCAACCCACGCTACTTACTGTACAACACATGTTCGTGCTTGCATTGCCAGTTCATTTTTTGTGAGTTGTTACATTCTCCAGACCTTACTACAATTTCCATTTTTTGTTTAAAGAACATCCTTGCAACTAATAACAGCTTTGTACAGTTACTCTCAGCTGTTTTCATGAAATAGTTTGTGCAATCACCATGGAAACCTGCATAATGAGAGAGGTCCCAAATTCAGCTAACTCAAATGACCTTGCTGCTATGTAACCAAACATGATTGAAATGTAATTGCCTTGAGGCCCCAATACACATATTAATTTAAGTACAATGTTTGGAATGGATAATCATAACTGAAAGTGCAGTGTCTGTCATACCAAATCAAATGTCAATTGTACTATTGAAGAGCAATAAAGTACTGTCTGTATGTGCAAACAAACTTCACTATTAATATGACATTTTAATGGGACCCATCAACCGGTCATGGATACTTTTCAATGAGAATGAATTGCTTTAGAACCATTAAATACTCGTTTCAGTGATCTAAATGTAATGGCCCTCATTTACTGATAGCATCAGCACTTCAAGGTACATATGTGCTCCATTCTTTTTCATGTATTTTTTTTCCTTCAAAACCAAGATTAGCTTATTCAGTGAAACACCAAGGTATTTGGCAAATAAGGCCCTGCACATATACTGTATCATTTCAAAGCATTATCTGTGAGCATTTTAAATCTAAACTAACCACAAAAAAGGGAGGGGCTAAAAAAAATGTTATGTGTAGTTTATATTTTGGGGCACATCTGACTTCATAAATTTAAAATTGTTGACAAATTAATGTCACAATGAAGGTCTACTCCTTAAACCTATTTCAGACCTGATATTTGTATAAAACGTTAAAATGGCATTTACAATTTCACAAATATAGTCCATATTTTTGATGACATACATCATCATAAGTAGGTCTTTTTTTTTTAATTTGCATACAATATATACCTACACTTCAATCTGAATTCTTGATACAGTCAGAAAGTCAGAAATGCAGAAGTTCAATAAACCTTCCAGATATGCCAACCCTTTCAATTTCAATTAATAATCACTGACCATGAAAACAGACTTTTGACAACAATTGCTCGACTCCCTTGAGGAGTGTGACCTCCCTACATCAGGGAACACAATACATGTCGAGTATCAAACTTAGATGACCATTCTTCTGCATTGTTGGTATGCATTCCAAGAGATATTATTCAATGGAGCACGATTCCATAAACAAAACAATAAAACCAGAAATAGTTCTGATTTTAATAAAGGGAAGAGACTGGAGAGTTCACCAAAGGCAGAGGAAGTTGTTTATATTTCCTTTTATTTTCAGTGGGGAAAGGGGGTGGGGGCATATACTGCTGAATTTTAAAAAAAAAGGTCTGTGAAGATATCAAGTTAATTTGTATATATACAAGACCGCTCAAGGAAAACAAGAAAATGGTCTTTATAGACAAGTGGTATTCCTTTACATTTGGTGGCTAAAGCAGGTTTGACATTTAGTAGATATCAGTAATACCAGCTTTCCCCTCCATCCGGCCTGTAAGTGCCAATACTAGAAATATGAGGCATCACTGTAGATTCTACCGTGCATCTACATGTACATGAAAGCTTATTATACACTGTATGTAAGAGTATAATTATAATACATACATGTAGCTGATACTAAACTTATATGGCTAGACTTCTGCACTGTGAATGGAGCATATTTTCATATTTTTTTCTAAAGATAAAAGGAAACCTTTATTGATAAGATATCTAATAGTTCAGAGAAAATATTATTTGTTGCTGAAGAGAATTATTTGTGACTGTGATCAGAATTTTGTGTCTTTTCAAACTTCAATCCCTACAACTGAATTGTACTTTCAGAAAATGAATTCATGAATAATTACATGTACTAGAGCAAAGTACAGCCATACCTGTACCTCTACAATTTGTAATTTCTTACTATTGAAGAAATGAGTATTGTATCTTTCCTGGATATATACATTTATAGCTAACCAGGCTAGACTGTACACACAGTGATTAATGGGCTATGCATACATGTATGTCATCCTACCTTGCAAGCTATCAGTACCATTATGACTGTAAAATAATACCTCTGTAACGAAGGATCACACACTTAACACACCTTGACATGCAAATGATCATCGACATTGTAGCTCATGTCTGCTTCTATCTAGGGTAATAATATTGATAAAATGATCTACTTTTGGGCCAAAACTGGACCTGGCTATTGTGTTTAGTGAATTTATGCATACCGGTATACACCTGTATACTTGAACATCACTACATGCAAGCTTTATATTTTACTATTTTCTCTGGTTGTTTGTTTGTTTGTTTGTTGTTGTTTTTTTTTAGTTCTCCTTTATACATGTACCTCATTATCTTTCATGTGTATCATTTTTCATAATAAAACACATTACACTTTAATAGGCAATTCAAACAGATATTTGTTGTTTACTATGTTGTGTTAACAAAAGAGGAGAGGGGTTGTTTGGAGGGTAGGGGTTGATTATTTAAATGTGATTTTTACCTGATCAATTTTCCATCCTTGCAGGTGACAACAAGGCACTCCTGATCTCTGCATTCAGCATTCTCAATCAAACCAACTGGTACCTGCAATTATACAAAAAAAACAAAGGATATTGGATTGACAAGATTAAACAAAAACAGCATCAATTAATACAAGCAAATGGATTGAATTATGTTTGAAAATTAATACACACAAAAATAAACACGAAAAACAGGGATCTATTATCACCAATATCATCATCATCGTCGTCATCAGTATTCAACATCACAAGTGCCTATGAGGGGAAAAGGAACATCCATGGTGAGCATGGCCCTTGCTTGGGTCACTCTTCTTGGGTTAACTTACTACGGTAATGATGATTCAAATCAAAATTATCACATACACTGTACATACAGGTGCTAGTGGGTATTGTGGATATCCTACTTTATCAATCTTAAAATCAGGGATGAGGGGGACTTAAATCACCAACAAATGACTGGTTTTTAATTTTAAAAACAGTGATTCAACTCAATATTTATTGATCTGACATATATATGTAAATAACTCGCTTGATATTGCACTCTCTTTTTCCCCCAAAATGACAACCCTGCTTTACACTAGTAATTTGTGCTCCTCTCTGACGTATACATGTACATGTACTGCTGTACATCACTGTTTTGGTTTCATTGCTCTCTCTCTCTCTCTCAAGGTGACTGATTTGCAAATACAGGTCTGAATGGTTTTCCCTTTCATACTCCATACTGACACACGTACTAAACAAACACTTCATGTCTATGTATATCCCTAATGTGTAACATGAATCACATAAGTTATAAAGGTACTACATGTACATTGTATAACAAACTTAATTTACTAAACTATGCAACCCATTCAATGCCTGCCAGACCTGGTAATTCATCATGAACCGAGAAAGGTCACGAGGCAATATATTCTTCATCTGGTAGGGGTTTCACGCCCTAGACCCGCGCGCTCACGATTTATAAATACCAAGATCACCTTTCTTTCTCAGGAGACACAACGAGCGCTTTGACTAGACCATCATTCATCCTAAGGCAGAGTGAGAGTATTATTAAAGAAACTGACCTACTGTAGTAGTATAATTACGAAACCATACTGTCATATTTCCATTATATTTGAGAGTGATGTCGAACTAATGTAGGAAGATGAATGACTTTCAGAAGCAGTGCATCATAATGAACGTCACTCCATGTAAATGCAGGTCATTGGTTTTTTAACAGGGGGAGGTAGAGAGAGAAGTTATTGAAGTAAATACATGTGTACATGTACAGTATGTATATCTATTGAAAGTAAATCAAAGAAACAACTCAATGTCATTAATTCAACAAGAAATCTGTTCTTAAGGGTACAGCTTGCCTGGGAATTACTAGGGACAACTTTCAGGGCCGAAATCCAAATTACAGATCCATACTTGCTAACAAAATTTAGAGCCTTCAGAGGCAATCACTACAAAAAAATGAGATCAGAATACTTTTTATAATGTTATCTACAAACATCAGTATACTGTACATGTATAAGGAAAACTAGATGGAATTTTGACTGCGCGCAGTCGAAAATGATGCCTCCGCCATAGAGCAATTTAAACAAGTTTGGAGTTTAAATCTCCAGTGGTTCTTGAGATATCATGATAACAATCTCAATGTATGGAATTTCATAAGTTGACCTCTGTGACCCTTGACCTTTGACCTACGTGCTCCAAAATCTAATCAGATCGTCTTCCTATGGTGATACATACTATCCTTAAGTTTGAAGTTTTTACATCTCCAGTGGTTCTTGAGATATCATGATAACAATCTCAATGTATGGAATTTCATAAGTTGACCTCTATGACCCTTGACCTTTGACCTACGTGCTCCAAAATGTACTCAGATTGTTTTCCTATAGTGATACACACTATCACTAAGTTTGAAGTTTAAATCTCCAGTGGTTCTTGAGATATCATGATAACAATCTCAATGTATGGAATTTCATAAGTTGACCTCTGTGACCCTTGACCTTTGACCTACGTGCTCCAAAATCTAATCAGATCGTCTTCCTATGGTGATACATACTATCCTTAAGTTTGAAGTTTAAATCTCAAATGGTTCTTGAGATATCGCGCTAACAAACTCAATACAAGGAATTTCATAAGTTGACCTCTGTGACCTGTGACCTTTGACCTACGTACTCCAAAATCTAATCAGATCGTCTTCCTATGGTGATAAATACTATTCCCGAGTCTTAAGTTTAAATCTTAAATGGTTCTTGAGATATTGTGATAACGGTCAAACGGGACGGACGTACGGACGTACGGACGGACGTACGGACGTACGGACGGACGTACGGACGTACGGACGTACGGACGGACAACCCGAAAACATGATGCCTCCGGCACCACCTTCGGTGGCGGAGGCATAAAAATGTTTTGTACCAACCAGACATCAAGGTTTAGTCAATTGGTAATCTTTAGGATATATTTGCACTTTGTGTGCGGGAGGTCTCCTAGATTTAAAAGATCAATCAGACAAACAAAACCTTTGCATGTTTTTGAAAAAGCCATGTTTTTAAGTGATGTAGTCCTTCACATTTATCAAAATGTACATTTGTGAACAATTCAATAATACTCATTGACATGTTATACATGTAAGATGAAACAAGGAAATAATTAAAAGAAAAAGTCTGATTAAAAAAAATTGTTTGCAAATATTGCATATTTCTCAATCATGCATTCCGGTCATATGTGTATTTGATGATCCGTTACTACAGCCACACAACCAGAACTTCTTAGCATGATGCACTTTGGAGTTTACATACAGTGAGAAAAAGTAGAAATGCAACCTATTCAAATATTGACACAGCTCAGCTAGAACTCCTTCCACTTGGGACAGGCTTCCTAGACTGTACTGTCAACGTGTATGTCTACATGTTCATGTAAATGCTGCATTTACACCAACCTCTACAACTGGATCAGGATAATCTATATCACTTTCCATATGTTGGGAATCTCGCAAGGTATGTTTTAGAACATGCCAGGATGTTTCAAACCAGACATGAACATGTACATTGTTTCTATATATATATATATATATGTTCAGCTAATTAGTGATATTCTAATCTTAATTCAAATGTTGCTTTTGGTGCAATTTTTTGTGAAAAAAACTGTAATCGTGCTTTTTGTGTGTTATGACCCGGGCAAAAGTAAAGAAGATAAACAAATATTAAACAAATAAATAAATGTCTGTTCAGAGCCAGAAGGGTATTAACTCTGTGTAAAGTACATGAGTTAACGCCGTTGTGGCTCCATATGGTCTCACATGTGAACAAGCCCCATCAAACACAATTAAAACCTTGCTTGTTTCTTGAGTGAATGTGGGCTTCATAGTCATACCTGTATATGAAATGTCTTGGTACATGTTATGGAACATGACTTGTACACTCACATCGTATGGACAGCTACAACATGGTTAAGATAGAACCTGATCAAGAAGTGTGGTTCTACAGTCATGTAACAGTATACAAATGTATTACAATGTTATTAAAGACAAGTTCACACATGCGCCCGCCCGAGACTCCAGCTCTAGAGACAGCCAAGTCTAGAGGTCAAAGACGACTGTTTGTTCAACGACAATCACAGACACTCACTTTGAAAAGGGAAGTTTGCTTTTCCCATAAAACTCAACTTGTACAACTTACAATTACATTTTGTGTGTCACAGACTTACAGTGTATTAAAGCAAAATATTTCTAAACTTGAGCGATAAGCATAAGGCTTCAAGCGAAAATACATCGAAGAAAGAAAAAGAATTCAGGTCAATGACTACTTTTCAGGCCAAACTAGGAATAGTGTGTACATACAGTTTATGTATGTGTATGTTGTACTTTATGTGTATGCAGTTTGTCTGGGTTTGTAAATAGTCAATATTTTGCATGAAGCATAGACGAAGGTATTGATGATCCTGAAAAAGAAAATGATATCATTACATGTACATGTATATTCCAATCAGGTGACTGCACTCTATTGATTACGGTATCAAGTTATTGATTGAAATTTAGCACTTGTTTGACAGGCTTGATAAAAACCTGTTATTTGAGACACACCCACTTAATTTGAACCCAGCCCCCTCAAATAGAGTGAGAATTTGTCAAGCTTTTTATGTGCTGCACTACAATTTGATTGTGTTTGCTATGAAATTAGAACTCTTTCATTATTCAGCATGCCATTTTAGCAAGTCAATAGATTTGGAATTGAAATCACAAACCTGGAATTTTGGGGCATTTGGAGCATGAAATTGCTGCACTGTAATGAGTACATGTACATGAACATGTAGGGGTGATGGCTAGTCTTACTATACTAACATGTACTCTGTAATTGCCATATTCCAATTCAAACTACAATGTATAGAAGATGAATTTTCCAAACCTCAACACTTAATTTTTTCTAAGTTTATACCATTAACGAAAATGCCTCCTTATAGCAAACTGACAGATACAGTCATTGGTGTAATTTTAACATTAAAGGGATAGTTGAGTTCTGTTGCAGAGGGCGCTACACAAAATAATTTTTTGCGATAATGAAAAACTGAGTGTCAAATTCGAAAGAACATACAATTTAAATAACAAAATCATCTTTGTTTGTTCAAAATCGGTTCAGAGCAGCTGAAATATCCATAAATATAACGATTTCTAATAGTAATACTTGTGTACCACCACAAATATTAGATAACAACCAGCCGGCCCATGTATTGTTATTTTTAATCAATTAATTAATTAATGGTCACCATATTTTTTTGAAAGTGGAGCTGAATTGGGATCGTATTGGCTAAATTTCACACATTTCGGGGTCTAAAATTACCTTCATAGCAATTTTAGGTCCTAAAAGGGCACTACAAATGTCATAGATAAGAATAAGAGCAACAAACATGCACTTTGAAGGCATTTGCGGTCTGTAAACAGAACTCAACTAACCCTTTAATAGACAGAAACGCGCTTCATGCTACATGTATGATTATTCTGTACATGTTGCATTGAATACACTGGGTAGGCAGACACCGCACATTACGCTCAATAACTAAGTAATCAACAAATATACATGCACACCTACATGTATCTGTCAACATTTTCATAGAAATAATGTGGTTAGATCCAATACTCAGTGTTTAGCTGACTTTAGTTTCATTGTGATTCCCCACCATGGCCAATGCAGGTGGTTTTAAAGGCAAACCTTGCGGTGAGTTATGATCTGTTTCCAATCATCTTGACATTTCAATGGAAAGAATTTTAAGTGTAGCGATACTGAGCTTGATCCCCTTCAAGTACATGTCAGTTGACTAGGCTATACCTACTGTATGTTTAATACATTACATGTATGTAGCAAACAAACTAGTACATGTAGGTCAAAAATGTGAGAAAAGGAATTGATGAGCTCACAAGCTTCATATCAGTTGCAAAACGTTGTTTTGGTTGTTGTTGTTCATAAGAGGTCTTGTGGATTTTCCACATAAAATTTTCAAAGCACCTTTTCCTCTTTCAAGAATTGAATCATTCTCTGTTCTCATGTACTTATTCACTGAAAGGAAAGGGAAAATTGTAAGATTTGTAAAAAAATAAAAAACAAACTTGTCTCCATTACAAGACATACACTACAGTGTGTACGTAAACAATATCAATTCAACTGCACATGGTTCAGTTTAATATGCAAACACTGTATAGTGTATCCCTTGACTGATAACCCATACCCAATCCCTGTTCTCTCAAATCAAAGAGTACAATGAACTGGTTCCTTTCAGAAATCAATCAAAGAAACAAAATATATATAGTTGAAAACATAAACAACGAACAGGAGGGGTTCTATCAGACGAGCTGCAACTGGGTTAGTTTATCATACAGAACATCTTGACAGAAGAAGAAGAGTATATGTTCATGTACCTGTACACCTACGAAGGTCTACTGCTGTTTATGTGAAGAGCTTGTGAGAGGGATAATCAAAGAGGCCGTTGCTTGACTTCAGGAAAGTAAATAGAGTTTACCCAATGTGGAACTGGTCGATAATTTCAAACTAATGACAGACACATCCATCCATGTAGAGGGCAGGTTTCCTATACCATCATCTAGTAGGTTGTATTATAACGCATACTCCTGCAACAGTTGATCCACAGTTCAATTCCTAAAAAAAAATTCTTAACTTCAACCCTGGACCCAACAACTATACATGTACATCGAACCCTAGACCTAGCCTATTAAAAACCAAATTGAAAGTTTGCAACCCTTGATTTATAAGGACGGAATTCACCTTTGGGTGATAACATTCAAATGGTTAAGGCATTGCCACTTACTTTGTTGCATCTAACCTCGTTTTTATACCAATAAAGTAACCATACATGTAACTCTAGCGAAATAAATCCTTGAGCTAACGTTGCCAGAGCAAATGTCTGATCACCCATCTTGCATTGTGGTGACGTGACCCAGTTCTCTAGGAGTTGTACAATTGTCTTGATAGGCATATACATGTACATGTACCTGCCATTCAATTTTTAATACTTCCTGTATTTTCTTTTACACAGATAACAGAGCCAAAAGAAAAAGGACAGGGTGATGAAATTATTGACTCACAGTCTAGGAATCTTTTAATGATGTATTGTTGTTTCTAATTGCAAAAATAGATAATTGAAAAAACAGTAACTTTAAAGACACATTTCTGACTCTAACAAGGTTTCACTTCAGTCACAACAGCACTCACTCTATTATACTCATTGAAGCACCCTTCCCTTTCCACAGACAATTATAAATACTTACATTGACGAATGATTTAGCATAGCAGATGTGAAGCCTGTAGTTTGAGAGCACAATGACAGCACCGTCCGATGCTTCTCCTATGAACTCTACCCCCTCTCCACACAGCTCTGGGAAGGGGCATTCCAAGGAAGGGTTATCCTTGTGGAGGGGGCGCTTAGGGAACGCTTCACTGGGGTTCACATGCACCAAGCTGTCCAGTTCCTCTAATGGCTCAGCCTACAATATAAACAAGAGTATACAATATAAATTGAGACCCAATTTTGTGTTTGAAAATTATACCTACAATAGCTCAGGACATAATCTATACATATAAAAATGTCAGCATATAATTCTGCTTTTATATAGCACTTGATACATCTACATGTATGATGTCTCTAAGCGCTACATGTACCGTATATCAAAATATATGTTTGGGGGAATCTCAGTTCTAGGCGTGGAAGCCTAACTATTTATTAGAAAACATACCAGAAAAAGGCAGAAATACATATTACCTGTAGCTACATGTATACAGATGCATTCTTTTTTAAATGGCACGGTTACTGTATGTGTGCCTGAATCATCTATGTCTAATTGTGCACTATGAAAATAGTTGTAGAATTGAACATTATGCATACAAATGTATGCCCTATGTTCAAAAAAATTAAATTTAAACTGAAATTGTAGCTCAAAAAGACTATTCAAGTCAACAACAAGTAAAATAAGAAACAATATGCCCAATTTCAGTATGGAGCCTTGGTACATGTACTGTACATGTACTGTTGTAAATGTTCAAAAACAAGTTTAAAACGAAAGAATTTCATGTTTTGAGCTGCATGAATCAACTCCCAGGAGTCAGTTCCCAGGCATGTGAAATGTACAGTGACTTGCAAATTCTCTTTTATCTCCCCACTGTAAAAAAAAATGTAATGTACTCTTCATTAAAAAAATAAATAGGAGGAAACCAAAGCGAGCAAAGCGGAACCACATCAAAGCATCACGGCCTTTCAGGGGTAACAAACTTCCCAGGGATACACTTTGGTATTCCTGCCTATAAAATAACGTGCTCCCATTGGTAGACTGAAGAATGAGTTCAGGTCATCATTAATAGGTCAATAAGTCATTTCTGCTAAATGAGATAAAATAGCTAGGTATTTCCTGATCAGACTTCCTTCATACAAGGCTACCGATGCTGTTTATAACTGTAAAATTGAAACTTGTTTTGGCCTTCAGGATGGAAATAAACAAGGCTCTGGTAAAGGACACATCCCTGGATGCAGGAAGTTAGAATGTGGTGTACACACAGTACTACAGCTGTACATTGAATATTACTATCTTGGATTTCACACATGAGCAACTTTCTCTTTCATTTCACTTTTGGATTATTGAATTTCATTTTGGAACAATAACACTAAAAATACAAAAAAAACATATTTTAGCATGAGAATAGAAAGTCACCCATTTACTTTCATTTTGCCATAAACATTTAGTATAAAAAATATTTAAAAAGCTATAAGAAATTTCCTAAAAACAGTGTAAACAGCTGAGGTATGAAATCTCATGAATACTCACCATTTCAGTGTCAGTGATGTAAGCAAAACTTCTCTACTACTATTTAAAGTTGAAAGTTCTGAGAACCTAGTCTCAAGATGAAAAATATTCCTCCTTGTAGAAACTTTTGAACTCGGATGAAGATATTGGACAGATAAGTCCTATAGCAGAACCAATCACTTTGCAATCTCACAGCTGGCAATGTGCTTCAAGTTCACTCTGTAGTATGTGCTATCCTTGCAGTTGATGAAGAAATGTTTTGTGAATACAACAAATTTCAATTCAGTTCTACATGTATTCCTCCTCTCCTCAGTCAAGCTTCTTGATTATCAAGAAAAGGTGTGTTTGCACTGTGATTTATCTGATCAATTCTGCTTCCTCTCTCTCCCTCTTAGCAAAACTACAGGGACTCTTCTGAGTCTTCTCAGTGAAAAAGTCCCAAATACAAAGAACACTCCCACAGACACGTCTTCCAAAATAATCAGACGTTTCCAAAACGATATATTCCAGAAAGTGTAAATGCAGCTTGCAATGAAGCGGACATCCCATTCAGGCTTGCAGAGTGATCTCTTCCCTCAGCGCTGGCTTGTTTCCACTCGATATTGCGGTGCTACTCCTGCCTTGGCTGGCGTTAGCCGAGCAAGGAGGTAGACAAAGTTGGTTTAAAGAAGGCCTCAATACCTGCACAGGATGATAACAAAGAGATAAATTAATAAGTTCAGTCAGTGAAGATGATCTAGGAATTCTTTCATTTGAATAGCCTTTATGACATTAACAAGTCATTGATAATAGTTAAAAAATACTTCAAACAATTGATGATCACCGAAGTCTATTGATGAAAATGATCTAACAGTGTACAATTGATGATTGCCTACTGTACATGTAAATCTATTGATGAAAATGATTAAACAGTATACAGTCGCTTTTGTTGATATGGCAACTACATGCACAAAGTCCAAGCAGAGCAGCAGGTACAACGCAAAAGACCATATCGGTACTCATAAAATACACCTGAATGTATTTACAAGCAAAAGTTTGAAGAAAGTAGTTTGTATTATGCAATTGTAATTGTAAATGTACGCACAATGGCTCTCAGAATTCTGTGGATATACATCTGTGAAACTTGCAGGTATTTAGAACTAACTGCAGTGCAAGCATGCATGCATTCAATACCAGACAAAATGGGATCAGTTCAAGGCAGTGGTAATCATTCATGACACAGAGTGACCAGCTTGTAACACATGATCAATCAAAATGCATACACGTACATGTACATGTAGTATCAATATACACTTGAGATTGGGCTCGGTGTCAGGTAACACAGTTACTGCATGTCAAGTGAAGTTTACCGTCTACAATGTACATATCACAATATACATGTATTATGTAGGTCATGCTGTAAGTCTGAAGTAGGCATACATGTACTACTGTACATGTTGACTCAGGTATGTCCATTTTGAAGGAAAAAAATAAAACATTAAAATAAAAGTAACATTTCTTGCACAAATAGGGTATATAATTCAGTTGTACATACAAAGATTATGTTAACATGATGTCAATAACCATCTGCAAGTACCAGCAAAATTGTACATACCTTGCCCTAGCTGACTACATGTACATTACCCTCTCCGTAGTCTAGCTGTGCACATCAAAAACACAAATTACTTCCTTATCATCATTTCATGGAATACTAACACATGAAATTATGATGTACAAAGTGCCCTTTTCTTTTACATGTAAACATGTATTGTAAATTTGTGGTATATAAAACATGAACATATTTTGGTAGATGGCATGAATTTTTAATTTTTAGCCCAAATCTTTATGTTAAGAGATAGACCTACAATGTACATGTACTGTGCATTGTACACTCTCTCACAGAGCCTATTTAAAAGAAAAGGAAAAACAAAACTAGAAGGTCCATGGTAAGACTTTACCATCAGCAATGTTTAGGCAAAAATCAGAAGGCAAGGTACCATAGTCTGAATGTACTATATTCATCAAAACATATCCGTGCATTGATTTAAATCATTATGAAATAAAAGAAGCCATATAACCTTGGCACGTAATGCTACATCATGTACATACCTGTACATTGTATGTCTAGGCCTTCATATTTTAGTAGCATGTATAAAAGATTTGATACTTACATGTACTGTACAAGAGCAACTTGAAATTTAGTGAACAACACATCTAAACAGCTACAGTACATCATTGTACATGTAGTACACACAACAACGTCTCAATGATTCAGACACTTTAGAAATTTATATGACCTGTTTTGGTTATATTGCACCCTCAATCTGAGAGTCACAATCCCTATATGAGTGAAGATTAGTGTTTTCAAGAACTTCTATAATTGTATTTCAATTGTCTATTTAAAGCTTGGGATTCCCAAGCACTTTTGATGTGTGTGTGAACAAAATGTAACCTGACATGCGCTGTTCAGGTACACACAGAATTGTTGCTCAATAACAATCGTCCACTTCCGAACAATTGATCTATTTTTGTGAGAATGGTGGGGGGTGGTTTCAAAACAAGTTCATTGTGTATCATTTTTATTGCTTTTGTTGTTTATTTTATGTACTTGTGGTAAGTGTGGAACTCCCCTAGCAGATTTCATTTTGCAATTTACGTCTTAATAGGAAGATCAAGTGTTTTAGGAAGATATGAAACAAATGGTTGGTAATAATTATGTTTGATGGAAATAAAAAATAAATGATAAATAAAAAACATGAAATAATTTTTTTTTTTATTGATATTGATAAAAAGATGTTGATTTTTCATTGATAATGATAACAAAATAAATTGTATCAAATATTATCAGCTAACTCCAGGAAATCATATAACATTCTTTACAAAAAACAACATTGTTTATGGATGACAATGACTTGCATACAAGATCATGCACAATGGAGCATGCTAAACATACAGTACATATCATGTTTCAAATCAGAATATTAAAATTGGCACAAGTTCAAATATTGCAACACAACTGGTGCGTAAAAGTACTTGGGCATTCTCATTACATCATCACTCATTCTCACGAGACATTAGAATGATACATGCCAACTTGGAGAATCCCTATTTAGCAGGGGATTTCCCAAGTAATTCCATACAGCACTGACTATAAAGTTGACGTTGTACATGTAACTGCAAGTTACGGGTTGCATAATTTGATGCGAGTCTTTTCAATTCCCTCATTATCTATTAATTCCTTTTTTGTTTTCTTTTGGTTTTATTATAAGACATCACGCACAAATACACATACATGTACAATAGCTTCTTACAATTTAGACCAAGACTATTGATGGTGTAATGAATCTAATACAAAAAGACTTGCATGAAAGTCTCCATGGAGATCAGTCACAGCACACACATTAAACAGCTGTACATGTATATGTAGAGACATGTACTGTACGTTCAGTATGCTAGATGTACATGTACACTTTAGTAACATGTATTACACTACCGGTATTTACAGGGAAATTCTGCAGAGTCTAGACTGTACAGGAGAAAAGTCAAAGATTGTGTCTATGATCAATATCAGCTGGAGTAATGGAGTATGAATTGTACTAGAATTTTACATTTTCTTGCAAAAAGTACATGGAGCTTGCAAATAGAACTACACTGTACATCAACATACTGTATACATGTACATGTATGACTTGTACATATATGTCATTCAGTCTTAAGCCTTTTTAAGGGCCATTTAAACTAGTCATCCTTGAGGATATAAAAGACCTTATTCTAGGTCACCTTGCTCATCCAAATAATCTTGAGTTTAGAAAAGCCCTTTCTCCCTGAATTGACAGCCTTTGTTATTACTTCTCCAGATCATAAAAGATGGATAGATAAAACCTTGTTGCAGGAATAACTTAATAGACGCTAGAAAAAATATGAATGGGTAATAGGCTATATACATGTATAAGACATTTTGAAGAACTTAAAGTACAATACATGCACGCTGTAGCTTAACAGCTGATACACATACATAATATCATTACATGTTAAAATGTGGTCAAAAATACTGTACTTTATGCTAGGGTTGTATGCAGAAAACATTACATATCTAGGCCCTATGCTAACATGTGCATTTAACATAATTTTCTTTGGATTTTATGATCTTTACTAATTAAAAGATGTATCCTGCAAAATGCAAATACATGTTCTTGTACAAAATAATCCATCATTCAACATGAATCTTTACCCCCCCCCCCCCCCCCCCCCCATTAAATGATTATAGACTTCTCTGGCAATGGGACAAACTATCATCGCAGAGATGATCTCGGGGTAGATCACCAATGCAATAATAGTTTGTCAACCTGTCAGAGTTAAGGAGGTGATTATTTGCTCTTTATCCCATAACATAGACCTATTTAAGAATACTGAATCGAGGCACCTCTACTTGATACATGCAGGATACGCACTGCCTTACATTTACATGTACATATCATAATAGCCTACAGGTATGTGTATTTCACAAAACCATGACCGATTGCTCCTAGCATATACACTGCACCAGCGAAAAAATACCATCATATCTGTGATAGTTTTTACTTTCACTGCAATCGTCAAGATAAGCAACCTATCATTATGTCATGTGACCTGACCTCACATAGACCACTTGTAGACCACTCGTAGACCACTCTTGTTGCAAGATTCCTGATATGTGGCCTTGTGGGATATAATGGATCTTAAGATTGTTTGTTTTTCAAAGAATATCCATGTTGACATCGAAGACAAAATAGAAATATAATAAATATGGCGTTTGCAGCCAACCACCGGCACACTTTCATTTCTATTTTGCCTTTTTTTTTTTTGCCGATATCATATCGATTCCGGCTAGCACTATACATGTAACTGGATAGGCAATTTCCATTGTTTGTAAATTTGCACCATTTCAAAGATTTTGAGATTTACTCTTCATTTTTTAGGTCGGCAAGTCATATTTTTGTACAATAAATAGAAAAATTCTTAAGATTTTTAACGGTTTAACTGGGGGATATTGGGGGATATCTTTTTATATTTGGTTCGGTTCATGTTTTTATGAACTCGGAGTATACAGTATGCAAAGAGCTTACCCACATCCAATTGCCAGCTATGCAGGCATCAGACAGGTAGATCTATTAAACTAGCAACATGGAACTATAGTCCGGCAGCCATCTCGATATACCTTGTTTTAGGGTCTATAGTTTTTTTTTCTTCGGATTATAGTTCCTTAGACCATCAATTTGAAGAATTCGATTGCTGACACTCTGTCAGTATTGAGCAATTTGAGATATGTGACGTCATACAAAATGGCCGCCAAAATCCCCTTTTTAACCAAAATTAATGATATAAAAAGTTTTAACAGCATTTTACTACATTAAATGGCAGTCAAATATCTTAATTTTTTTCTAGAATCATCACTAAATAAAAATTGCGATGCTGTATGATCACAAATGATATGCAAATTTGCATAATTCGGAATGGCGCCCTCTATAAACACATTAACTTGAATAGTTCAAAATGATGGTCAAATACCAATTTCTAACATGAGATTATCATATGTCATGAGTCAGATGCACTGGATACAGTGAGTAAAAATTGTGCTGCACATTTATTTTTATTTTGTAATTTTATACTCGAAGAAAACATGGTTGAATTTTATGCTCTCTGTCCCAAAGATATGAGGTGGC